AATGTCGCTTATAAATGAAGATGAGAAAAAGATCAAGTAAGAGATGAGCAAAGAGAACCCCGGGAGAAGCAGCTGCAGGCCTGTCCATCAGGACCCTGCAGGCCTGCACAGGCTCCGGGGCGGACTGACGGAATTTCGTTAACAGCACAGAGAATTCAGAGAACCCACCAGTAAGTGCCGCCGGGAAGTGTGGCGGAACCCAGCAGCCATTATTAGTAACACTAATTAAAACGGAAGAAATCAAAGGCTTGGCACACAAACAGAGGCCACGCTCATTCTACACAGGAACACAAAACCGGCCAAGACCTGTAGGCGCCTGGTGGTGCCAGCCGTTGCCATGGTTACTCAGCGTTTTCTGGGAGGGCCGAGCAAACACCGCAGAATAAGAAAATCAAATAAGTGACATAAACATGAAGAAAAATAGATGGAACCATCTGTGCTGATGACGTGATTGCAAACCTAGAGACTTCCCTTTGCCCTGGTTTAAAAAATTAGAGGTCAGTCAGGAGGAGTGACTCAGGATGACTACACAAACGTGAGGAGCCCTCACTCCTCCAGCCGGGAGCACCCAGAGGCCAGCACGGACGCCTGTCCTCACAGGGCCAGCAGTGGAGGCGAGGGTGCTGGGCCACGCCTGGCGGGGTGAGGACCGAAGGCGCTCCCTGCTCCTGCACCGCACGGCCCGCTGCTCCCACAGCCAGGGACAGGCCCTCCCCTCCAGGGGTTCGGACACAGCCCCCCCAGCTCGCAGGAGGGGGGAGGAGAGGGGCCACGCCCAGGCTGTCTCCCCTGGGGAAAAGCTTTCATGCTGGGGGAGCCCTGAGCCAAGTGAGCACAGGCGGCCTGCAAGCAGGTCTTCCCAGAAACCACGGGACAGGTCGGAGCGGCACTTTCCGGGAATGCGCTGGGAACAGGCTCCAGCCCGGCCCTTTCCGTCCCGGACAGACAGACAGACAGACAGGCTATTCCTGGTCTTCGCCACGAAGGCGGCACAGAGCGGGGCAGCGGGTGAGCCTGGGTAAATGCAGCCACCTCAGTGCTGCCGGGGAAGTGGAGACACTGGGACTCTGTACACTGCGGGTGGGGATGCAAAATGGCACAGCCACGGAGGCTCCTCAAAGAAGGGAAAGTACAGCCACCCTATGACCCAGCGACTCCACTCCTGGGCGCCCAGAACTGCAGCGGGTCGGAGAGGGCTTTGTGCGCCCGTGGTTCCAAACATGGGAGCACCCCGTGTTGGTGGGCGGATGAACAGATGAGCAAACGTGGCCCCTCCATGCAGGGGGCTGCCGTCAGCCTCAGAGGAAGGACACGCCGGCTACAACACGGGTGCATCAGCCTGCAGGCCGCAAAGGGCAAACACTGTAAGGTCCCCCTCACGCAGTTCTCTGCAGCCACGTTCGCGGGTAGAGGGGTGCCCCGCCGGGCAGAGGAGGGAAGTGAGCGTCGGACAGGGTCACAAGCGGAAAGAACTGCCCCTCGCGATGGGCTGGTGGTGCCGACAGTGCCCAGCAGTGGGACTGGCCTAAGACCACTGAGCCGGGCACTGAAGATGGTAAAGACAGACAGACAGAGCCACCTTGCAGCGTGGCCTCCTGCTCTTCGCACGGCCCAGCAGTTTTCTCGGTAAAACCCGAACTTGAGCCAGCCTTTGGCTGCCCTGCGTCAGGCCAGGCCGCCGGGCTGCTCGGCTCTAACCCCGAAGGCGCTCCGGACCTCGCCTCGCTCACACCACGGGCCGGGGCACGGCTGCCTGTCTCCTGTGGTTTTGCTTGAAGGCGCAGAACCCGTGGAGGCCACGGGGCACGCATGCGGCTGAAATGAAGCCTGTTCTGACCGTTTCTGCCTGTGCTCTCTGACGAAGGACGCCATTTTCAGAAACCCCCGGCGCCATGCTTGCCCAAGTCCTGACTTCCACCGTGAATGAGTCGCGGCACACACAGACCCGTGTTCCCGGGCGGCGGGCACATCAGGTTCACGGCCAGGACGGCACACCACCCGGCTCTGCGCCCAGCCTCCTCGGAGTGCGGAGCTGGAGGCCACGGCCACGCTTGGTCAGAGCCCTGGGCCTCTCGACCCCCAACTCAGTCAGAGGGGCATGGTTACTGAGCGAGGCTGCAGGCAAGGCCCCCACTGGGATAGCCGTGGGCTCCCTTGCTTGACACCTCCCAGATCCTGAACTGCAGAGGGGGTGTGAGCCTGGGACTTGGGGTTCCCCATGGGTCAGGGGTGCTCTGAGCAACCTGAGCCAGAGGGAGCCCAGCTAGAGGGAGGTGGGCGAGCAGCAGATGGTGGCTGTGGCAGCACAGCCAGTCTGCCCAGTCTTAACGACTCTGGACACAGCTTACCCGAGGCAAACCCTCTGCCTACCCCAGTCCAGCTCCTGGCCATGGCCAGGCACTCCTCCCAGACCTGAGGGGCACCAGGAAGACTCCTGGGAGTGCCCTGGCCCAGATGGGTGCAGGGAAGGTGCAGAGCGGGGGACCGGGCGGAGGCTGGGAAGCTCAGCCTGCAGGACGGAGCCGCCCTGGGGAAGCAGTGTGCGGTCTGTGGTGTTTGGTGGGACGGCCCGGGTGGATGTCTGCTGAATGGGTGAGCAGACAAGTGTGTGCCTGTGTGACTGGCACTTAATCCCCCCAGGAAGCCAGACACAGGCCCGAGTCTGTGCTGAGAAGCCGGCCTGTCCCCACCCTCACCCCACCCACGTCGGGCTGCGCCACGCCCAGGGAGGGCCCTGAAAGAGCCTGGTCAGGCCAGGCCTAGAGGCCGCTGGGCCAGAAGCCACATGACGGGTTCTCCAAGGTCATCGGGTCTAGATAGACGCATAGCACCCGGGGCATCCTGGGTCTGGGCTCCACGGCAGGGCCAAGCTGGCGATAGGAGGATGACACTGCTTACCCAGCGTCCCTGTATGCCAGGCCTGTCCTCAGCAACTCACAACTCTGGCTCCTGGAAACCCACGCCCCTGAGGCCATCTGAGCAGCACCACCCACCTCCCCGAGGAAGCCTGCACAGCTGCCCAAGGCTCCCCATCAGCAGCACCTGGGGTTGGACACCTCTACACGCTGCAGCCATCCTGAGGTGGGCCTGCAGAGTCCACTCTGTACTTACTCACCGGCCCATGGCAGGCGCTGAGGTCGGGGGCCAGGGGCCAGCGAGGTCCCCCGTAGCTGTTAGAGTCACCAGGGAGGGGAGCAGGCAGGGAGCGTGGGGTGCAGACAGGAGTGTGGGGGTGCACAGTCCTGGCTTACAGCCACACCCTGGGCCTCATCCTCTGACACCACCTCGGGGGTGACTGAGCACAGTGACTTACAGGAAGGGGCCAGGGTCAGTGTTGACGTATACCAAGCACTCTGAAGAACAGAACCCCGAAAAGTCTTTTCCATCCCCTCCAGTCCCTCCTCCCGAAGCCTTGGAGGCCACTCTGTGGTCCCCACCACCAAGACCCAGAGAGCACTAGCACTCAGTCCTCGGCAGGAGACAAGACAGAGCGTCCTGGTTTGAGACAAGAAGAGGAGCCTGAGGTCAGAGTGGTTTGCAGCAGAGTCAGGACCCAAAAAGGAGGCCTAGTCCCTATAGCTGGGCTCCCCACCCACGCCCAGCCCAGACCCAGGGCCATGGGCCACCTGCTCTGGAACTCTCCTAAGCCCCTCTCCGAGCACAGCGAACAGTGGGCACTTCCCTGTCCTGTGTCCTAAGAACCCCTCAGGCATGATCCTGAAGAGGGGCATTCTACCACCACAGGCAGCGCCTTCCTGGCCAGCCTCCTCCCAGCCCCCACCTTGTCTCCTGGCCGCTGGTCCGGCAGCATGTCCCAGGTGGGACCGGAGCGGTGAGAGCTCTTCGATGGGTGTGGTGGCTGGGAAGGCCCCCGAGCACGCTGGGCTGCCTCTTAGCCATCCTGGGCTTCTGTCAAGGGGGTGAGCCCGGAGGCCCCAGTGGCTGTGAACAGACTGGACTGTGCCTGAGCGAACGGTGGGAGAGCAGACGAGCTATCCCAGGCATGTCCTGCCTGTCCTCAAACCTGGATGCTGCTTCCCAGGAGGACCAGGCGCCAGGAGCTGGGAGCTGCCACTGCCGCTGCTCACGCTCCCTCGAGGGTGCGGGCTGACGGCCGTCCACACAGACCCCCCGAGGCCGCACAGACGACGGCCCCGGCTCGCCGGCCCGGCCGCGCAGGAGCCGGACGGGAAGATGGGCCTGCAGGCGGAGCCGGGCCACTTGCTCACAAAGGTTTCTTGGAAACAGCAGTGGCTCCCACACACACTGCTGTTCCTGTGAGCGTGCGGCAGTTCCCTGTTGTTTTCGGTGAGTGGCTGCCATCACCCACACAGGAGCTCTTTGGTCCAGCGTGGGCCTCGGCCTCCACCGGGTGCTCAGCCCTGTCCCTGAGCCCGTTACTGCTTTGAAATGCAGGCGACATGGCTTGTGTCTGTCTGCACTCTGTTCTTGTTGGTCCTTTTCCTCTCCTTTTCGAACACGGGAAACATCCTAAGACCAGCACGCTTTCTGTCCACGCCGAAGGCCTCCCGGCTCGTAGGAACGAGACCATCCTGCCCCCTGCCCGTTGCCAGGACTGTGGCTCGGTCCTCGGAACATTCTCCTGACAGTGAGCAGGGACAGACTGGGATCTGACAGCCACCTCCTGCGTGCCAAGCGCCCCTGACCTCTGTCCCTCTGTGGGTCAGGGCCGGGCGCCTCCTGGCAGCCCTGAGGGAGGGAGGGAGGTCTCCTCCCTGAGCAGGCCGCCCGCCCGCCCGTGGTTCTGATTCCCTGGGGGCGCCCGCCCAGCTCTGGGCAGCTGGATGCGAAGGAGGCGGCTGTGTTCTAAGCAAGCGGCGCCCCAGGCCCTTCTTGCAGCCTGGCCCCGGCGCTCCCACCACCAGCAGGCTGCGGCTGCGGCGGCAACACGCTGGCTTTGGCACCACCTCCAGAGACACTGGGAAGGCCTGTTGGGAAAGCAGAGAGCAGCGGGGAGAGGAGAGGGCGGGAGGCCGGGAGGGAGGGGAAGACAAAGAAAGGGGTGCGGCAACTGGCAGGCACCCGACCGGAGCAGAGTGACCTCAGCGCGGGAGCAGCCTCTCAGCCTCAGAGCCGGCGGCCAGGGCAGCTGCGGGGCACACACAGTCCCTTTCTCCTCTGCGCTCCGCCGGCCGCAGGGGGGACCCGGGCCCGCTGGCCAGCCCGGTGCCACCCTCAGCACAAATTGGAGCGCTGGGCTCTTGTGGGGACCATCCCAGGCCACAGCCCAGCTGCCTGCCTTCCTGCTGCTCCTCTGGGTGAGTACCTCGGGTGCGCCTCCCACCCCAACCCCTAAGTCACCGGCCTCGCGGCATTCCCCACCCGACAGAAACCCGCAGCACGCCGGAGGGAGGCCCGGGCTGGCACAGTGAGGCCAAAGGCTGACCCCCAGGTTCGGGGTTCCCTCGGACGGCAACACCAGAAGTGTGTAACTGGGGATACCACGCCTGGGCGCCAGGACCCCACACCTGCCGGGCACCCTAGGCTCCTAGACACACACCTGCACATCCAGCTTCCACCCTCCAGAATGGGGCCAGGCCCAGCCGGAGCGGAGCAGAGGCGGAGCAGGGGGGGCGGCTCAGGCCGTCCGAGTCCCTGTCTGGGCTGGCACACAGAGGGTGCCTGGGGCCCAGCTGTGCAGCCGGTGGAGCTCACCCCTCTTCTAGGTGATGGACACCCGGACCCCGGCCGCCGCCCAGGGCAGGGCCCTCTGGGCTCTCCTCCTGGCCACACTTGGCACCACAGCCGGCCAGCCGCTGCGGGGAGACTCCGTGTGCACGGCCCGGCCCCTGGCCAAGTACCGCATCACCTTCACGGGCAAGTGGAGCCAGACGGCCTTTCCCAAGCAGTACCCACTGTTCCGGCCGCCCGCACAATGGTCTTCCCTGCTGGGTAAGCGCAGCCCTGCCCCTGCCTGGCACGTCCACGGAGGGGGACGGCACCTGGCAGCGGCACCACCCCTCGCGGTTTGGGGGCACTCCAATCCAACTCCCTTCGGTGCCGGCTGTGTTTGCCGGACGCCGACTGCATGCTGGCCGGTGATGGCCGGGCTCCGGGTGGGAGGCAGGACGGCCACTGAGCTGGTCACCGGCAGTGTCTCCGGGCAGCACGAGGCTCCAGGGTGTCCCCATGTAATGGGGGGGGGCGGGGAACGGGGGGTGCGCTCACGTGGGGCGGCTGCTCACGCAGCATCGGGCCCACAGGGGCAGCGCACAGCTCCGACTACAGCATGTGGCGGGAGAACCAGTACGCCAGCAACGGGCTGCGGGACTTCGCGGAGCGGGGCGAGGCCTGGGCCCTGATGAAGGAGATCGAGGCGGCCGGCGAGGAGCTCCAGAGCGTGCACGAGGTGTTCTCGGCCCCCGCCGTGCCCAGCGGCGTGGGGCACACCTCCGCGGAGTTCGAGGTGCACGCCCGGCACTCACTGGTAGGTGCAGGTGGTGGGCAGGAGGGCAGAGGCGTGGGCGTGGGCGTGGCGGCTACCCGGCTGAGCCCTGCCCCCGCCCCCGCAGGTGTCCTTTGTGGTCCGGATTGTCCCCAGCCCCGACTGGTTTGTGGGCGTCGACAGCCTGGACCTGTGTGACGGGAACCGCTGGAGGGAGCAGGTCACCGTGGACCTTTTCCCACATGACGCGGGGACAGACAGCGGCTTCACCTTCTCCTCCCCCAACTTCGCGACCATCCCGCAAGACACGGTGACCGAGGTGAGGGACGGGAGGCGGTCACAGCGCTGGCCACTCGGGCAGCTCCTGTTTCCCAGCTTTGTCTCTTGTTGGGACAGCATCCTGTCCGTAGGGTCACGGTGAACAGGGGTGTGCAGGATGGGGGTGGGTAACGAGGTGGGGGCCCGGACCATGAGCCAGGCGCCCCGATGGGCCGCGAAGGCCGGGGGGGGGGGGTGTCCACGCTGCCCTGTGGCTCCCACCTGGGCCAAGCACACAGCAGGTGCAGGTGGGCTTCTGGGCCTCCGGCCGAGCTGACAGCCCTTCTCCTGTCTCCCCAGATCACCTCCTCCTCTCCCAGCCACCCGGCAAACTCCTTCTACTACCCGCGGCTGAAGGCCCTGCCCCCCATCGCCAGGGTGACCCTGGTGCGTCTCCGGCAGAGCCCCAGGGCCTTCGTGCCTCCCGCCATCGACCTGGCCGGCAGGGGCAACGAGATCGGGGACGGTCTCTCGGGTAAGCCCAGTCCCTCCTCCACTACCGCCCTCCCTGCCCTCAGGCCCGCGGGAGCCGCCACGCCACCTCTGGCGCCGGGGGCCGAGAACCCCTCGGTGAGCGGGTCACACGGGCTGAGCTCAGCTTTCACGGCAACGGCAGCGCGACGCCCAGCCCTGCACCGGCTTCACCTCTCACCCAAGAGTAACCCTGAAGCGCTGTCCCAAGAGGGACTGTCTGACGTGGCAATAACACCCTCTCACACCCCTCACTCTCCGGAGGCCAGCCGCCCACGTGACCCCACAGGGAGTGACGGTCCAGGGGCCAGGTCACGTCGTCCACCCCCATGGTGCTCCCCTGCAGCACTCCAACCTGCCATGGAGGGCACCCCATTCTAAGCCAGGCTTTGGGGGGGATTGCCCACCACCAGGCTGGGCCAGGACCCCAGCAACACCAGGGGCAGGGAGGGAGTCACACCAGGGAGAGGCCACCGATGCTCAGACAGCCCAGGGCCCCGAGCTCAGGTTTCAGCACAAACCTCCGGGGTCCTGGTGGTTCACAGCAGGTGCTGCGAGAAGATGGGGTTTTGGGGGTTCCAAGCATTTGGGGCAGGACAACTTGGGGTTTGGCGGTTCAGAGCATTCTGTGAGGATGACTAGAATTCTGGGAGACGTGGTAATTGGTTGATTCAAGCTCTAAACTTACCTACATTGGTAAGTGCAGCCGAAAGGAGGCGGGAGGGAGGCCCAGTCCCCCAGAAGACGGCAGACGGGAAGGGCGTCACTAAGCGGACCCCTCGGTGCCTCCACGGCAGACGTGGAGGTGGCCTGCCCAAGGGGGCAGATCCTGTGTCAGGCCTGTTGAGTGCGGGGCCATGGTCTCGGCCAGCTCTGAGCGGGTCAGTGACTGGGCTCACAGCAGGGCCCCCTCCCCAGGAATGTGGGCCCCTGCTGCCTGTGGGAGGAGCATGAAGCCAGGTCGTCTCCGTGGTCCCTCAGGAGGGGGGCGGCCTTTCCTGTCACGGACTGAGCCACACTGCGAAGGCACTTCCTCTCCACTCCGCGGTCTGGAGCTGGGCTCACGGGCGACCACCCCGGGGTGCCCTTCTGCCACCAGCTCCTCCTCCCCGCGCTCACGGCCCTCTGTGCTTGGTCCAGCTCCAGAGACGCCGCTGGACTGCGAGGTCTCCCTCTGGTCGTCCTGGGGGCTGTGCGAGGGCCTGTGCAGGAAGATGGGAGCCAGGATCCGGACGCGCTATGTCCGCGTGCAGCCGGCCAACCACGGGGCACCCTGCCCTGCGCTGGAAGAGGAGGCCCAGTGCGTCCCTGACAACTGTGTGTGAGCCCTGAGCCAGGCTGGCCGCCCCGCAGCGTCACCTGAGCCGCACTGCGGACCGGCCGCTCTGCACAGCGCCCGCGGGCTGGAGGGGCATCGGAGCAGGCGTCTCCTTCCTGCAAGTCCCCCTCGTGGCTGTGGCCCCACGTCCTAAGGTCCGCTCGTGTGGAGACGCACACGTCTGCTCTAACCCACGTCCGGCGCGTACGCCACCGTGCGGCTGTGGTCCTCCGTGCCCAATGCCTGGCTGGGTGCCCTGCAGGACAGCCACCCGCCCCGGCCCAGGAGCGCGAGCCGCACGAGCTGGCTGTGAAATACCTCGGTCCTGGTGCCCGGGCACCGCTGGCACAGGAGCCCTCACCATGTCTGCTCCTCAGAGCAAGGCTGCCCGGGCACTGGCTGCTCCTGGCATCCAAGCAGTGACGCCATAGAAGATAAAAAGGGGTCAGGCTGGGGTATCTCACCTGGCATTGTCACATGACTGATCTTGCACTTGAATAAAGACTATGATTCCTGACATTGGTGGCCATCGCCTGGCGGGCACTGCACGAGGGCAGACGAGGGCCGCCCACCTGCCCCGGAGCAGGGTCTCCCCCAGACTTCCTTGAAGAGCACACAGCGTGAGAACATGAAATCATGGTGCCAGGCTCCCTGCACATCTGCAGTCCCCTCCCCAGGCCCCCACCTCAGAGATGGCCCTGACGGCTCACCGCTTGCCTGCCCTGGCCCTTGTCTGAGGTTGGGGGTTCGAAACCTTGTGCTACCAGCATGGACCCCTCAGGGACACCCCAGGGAGCGGAGTGGAGGCTGGGCTGGGCCTCAGAGGACAGCGGGAGATGGAGACACTTTCAGGCCTTTATTCTTCCTGCTTGGGTTCCTCTCTCACCCACCCTGCAGCCAGGGGTTGGAGAGGGCCCCCCCCAGGGAGGCCCCCTTATGCCTTCCAGGACCCAGGGGCCATATTGCTGGCCCTCTCAGGAACGGGGGCTCAGCTCCCCCTTGACACAGCCAGTTCCTGGCCGGGAGATGCCCCTTCCCCTCCCTGACAGGCCTTCCTGCAAACTCGACCTCAGCGCCCTTCCATCCTCGGCAGACACCCCCTCCTTGGCCCCATTCCTCTCTCCGGATTCCGATCCCCAAAGGTCACCTTGACCCTCGGCCTTGGGGCAGAAGGAGGGAAAGCAGCTGCCTGTGACCATTTTGCTGAAGGCCTGGGGTTTGGGGGGAGGGCGGGTGAAGGCCCAGCAAGTGCCTTAAACACGCGCTCACGCCTGAAGTGCTGCTAACAGACTGGCAGTGTCCCTGAGGGAGGCACTGTTCTGCGGAATGTTCTGGGCATATAATCTTGGGGCTCCCCTCAGAGACGCTTCCTGACAGCGCTCCCCAGGCCTCGTGCTGGGTGCCTGCGCACGGGCACCCTTGCCCCTAGGAGCTGGCCTTGCAGGCTCCTGGCGAACGGTTTGGGGTGAAGGGCACCCACTTGCTGACAGTCACACAGCACCGCTTGGGCACGTGGCAGACACGGCAAATGCTTGTTAAATGAGCAGAGACTCCACTCTCCTCGTCTGTTTTGCAGGAGTCTGACAAGGAGCACATAAGATACAGACAAAATGAGACACCCTTTTATTATAAAAAGTAATGCCCCGCCGAAACCGGTTTGGCTCAGTGGTAGAGCGTCGATCTGCGGAACGAAAGGTCCCAGGTTCGATTCCGGTCAGGGGCATGTATGTTGGTCGCGGGCACATCCCCAGTGGGGGGTGTGCAAGAGGCAGCTGGTCGATGTTCCTCTCTCATCGACGTTTCTAGCTCTCTATCTCTCTCCCTTCCTCTCTGTAAAAAATCAATAAAATATATTAAAAATTAAAAAAAAGTAATGCCCTGACCAAGCGGCAGAAGCACAGAATTCCTCCAAGGCCCAAACAGCCAGCAGCCGCTGGGAAAGCACAGCACACGCAGGAGCCAGACTCCGCCCTGGACGCCCCGCTGGCCTGGGCTGTCCGAGGCTCCCATCTCACAGCACCCTCTCCGCCGAGCGAAGAGCGAGCAAACAGCTGGCCCGCGAGGGCTCGGCCTCTCTTGCACGTGGCTCTGCAGAGAAGAAACCTGTCCCTGAAAATCCCTGAACGGCAGCCCTGCTCACGCACGCAGGCAGGAGCTGAACACCCGCTAAGAGTCTTGCTTGAAAGTTCCTGGGCTGGTGCCGCCCTGAGGCTCCTGAGGCCTGAGCACAAGTCCTCCCCGGAGACCCTGCCGTGCACTCGGGACTCACAGAATCCCCGCTGTAACCTGAGTTCACAGTCGGAACGCACGGACACACAGGAGTCAGCAGGGCCCCCTAAAGAGGGAACAGCAAACTGCAGTCAGACCCACCGTGCTAGGCGCGGGATTGTCACGGGGAGAACGCGATTGAGCACATGACTGTGTTATGCAGCCAGAGAGCGAACTTGAGAGCGTTCCACACAACCAAGCACAGACTTGACAGACTATATGTGACAGACCGACCGGCCGGCAGGCAGGTCTCCCAGGACCATGGACTCTATACAGGGCGTGTGCAGTCCCAAAAGCACACTGCAGGTGGGGCAGACAGAGCGGTACAAAGCCGTCGACACCGTGTTGCCTCCCCTCCTTCCGGGGCAGGGGGACAAGTGACAGGTGTCATTTGGGGCAGAACTTTTCCTGCTCATGTCAGATGCTCCAGACCCCAAAACGTGTGACAAGATGGAGGCACCTTCGCAGATGCTGCCTGGAGCTAACACACTGAGGCCGCCCCCTGGAGAGTGCCTTGAGCCTGCGGCCAACTTAGATACAACCTTTGTCCTGTTCAGGCACGGAGATTTGGAGGCAGAGGATGGAAGTAAACAGTAAAGGAATCTTGCGTTACACTGTGCTCAGCTCTGGAGAAGAGTGGTGACGATGGTGCTGGTGCTGGTGGATAGTAGTGATGATGGTGGTGGTGGTGACGGTGATGGTGGTGACGGTGATGATGATAGTAGGAATGCTGGTTATGATGATGATGATGGTGATGATGGTGGTGATGGTGCTGAAAACGATGACGACGACAGTGGTAGTGATGATGGTGGTGATAATGGTGATGGTGATGATGATGGTGACAGTGATGATAATGGTGATGGTGGTGGTGAGGATAACAGTGACAATGTGTTGATGACCGTGACAGTGGTGGTGATGATGGTGATGATGTGATGGTGGTGAAGATGATGGTGGTGGTGTTGACCCTAGTCACAACATTCAGTACTGGAAGGTTTTGGCTGCCTGGGTCAGCCCAGGGAGAGTGAGGGAATGAGGAGGACAGCTACACTCTGAGGCACAGGTGGGTTCAGGGTGCTACCATGCACTGGCCAAATGTGGTTGTCCCAGCATCTACTGTGATACCTGCAGGTCTCTCGCACAGGCTGGGAATGTGTGCCCTGGGCTTCGAGGGGCTGCCGGCTGGCCCAGCAGGGGTGGGACCCAGAGCTGGCACGTTGAGGAGGAGGCAGAAGTGATGTGCAGTGTTAAATACAGGAGGAAGGGAGGGTCATGGCAATGGTCCTCCGTGCTCAGCAACACCAAGCACGTGGCCAGGGCAGGGCGGATCAGCTGGTGGCATTGGGGGTAAGAAGGTAGGGGTGGAACATTGAGAAGTGATGGGAGGGGTGTCCTGGCAGAGATGGTGGACTGAACACTCACATCTAACCCCACGTCTGTCCACACTCCACTAAGACCACAGAAAAGGACGTGTGGATGGCATAACCCAGAGGCTGCCTTGGGCACTGGGTCTGCCCAGCGCTCTGAAAGGACCTCCCACCCCCTCCACCACCGCTACACACTCTGCTGGACCCTAACCCAGGGCGGAAACACCATCTGAGACACTGACATTCCATAAGAGGTCGGGAGAGCTCTCACTTCCTCCCACTTTCACAAATAAGCAAACAAAAGCATTAACTGGGCCTGGAGCAGAGGCACTGGGGTCAGGCCAACTATGTGAGCAGCTGGAAGGGCAGGGCCCCAGGGGCTGCTGCTGAGCGTGGGCCAGAGCAGAGTCCAGAAGACAGCCTGGCGCTCTCCTGCTCAACGGCCCTCCCAGCAGCGGTGTCCCTCGACACCAGGGAAGAGCAGATGGATTCTCTCTGCAGGAAGCTTCCCCAACTCCCAGTGGGGTCTCAGGCCATGAGTGCCCCCCAAAAGCCCCAGTTAAACCAAAAAGCAAGTCACTATAATTGATAGAAAGTAAACAGAAAAAACTCCCAATAGATTCTGAGAGCCAAGATAATGAAATGATTAGAACTAGAACACAGCAGCTACAACAGAAATGACCAATCAACAGGGATGATTATAAAGCAGGCGTCCTCAAACTTTTTAAAGTGGGGGCCAGATCACGGTCCCTCAGAGAGCTGGAGGGCCGGACTATATGAACTACTAATTCCTACTGTAACACCTCGGCTGCGCTCACTGCCCCCAAAACCTGGCGGGCCGGATCAGACTCCTCTGCGGGCGCATGTGGCCCGCGGGCCGCAGTTTGGAGACGCCTGTAAAGGAACAGCTACCTCTGGAAAGAAAAGACGGTGTGGGCCGCCAGGCCTCGGTCAGTGGGTTAAAGAGCCGATCCAGGCACAGATGGAGGAGGAGCTAGGGATCTGGAAGGCATTACTGGGACATTCCCCAGAATGCATCACAGAGGAGGCAAAGAGGCAGGAAACTTCCAGAAGATACGGAAGATAAGATGGGAAGCCTTACTCCTGACACTCTGAGGATATATCAGTGGTAGCGGAGAAAGCTAACATAGCAACAGCATCTGGAGAGCATTATGCTAAGTGAAATAAGCCAGTCAGTGAAAGATGAACACCACTTGATCTCACTCATTTATGGATCATAAAGAACATTACAAACTGTTGAACGAAAACAGATAGAGGCCAAGAAGTATCAAACAGACTATGAAACTACAGCGGGAAGATAGTGGAGGGTTTGGGGAGGTAAGAGATCAACCGAAGGACTTGTGTGCATGCATATAAGCACAGCCAACAGACGCAAGACACTGGGCGAGGGGGGACGAGGGCAGTGCGGAGGGGAGGCGGGGGAGGTCAGTGGGGGGAAAAGAGACATATGTACTACTATTTGTAACACCTTAAACAATAAAACTTTTTTTAAAAAGGTATCTTTACAACAAGAAAGCTAATAGATCTCAAACAGGACAGAGAAAAGCCACCACGCCCGTGCCCCACCAACACAGGAGACGGCCTTCAAAGGCCTGGAGCGGGGGCCGACCACCATGAAGGCATGTCTGCTGGAGCGACAGCATTTTCCAGCAGCAGCCACAGGGTCAGAGGCAGCCAACGCCGCTGTCTGCGTGCTGAGAGGAACTGTCAGCCGGAGCGGCGAGGCAGCACCGCTCCCAGGATGGAGCGCACGCTCTCCCGTGAAGAAAACCCGAGCTCACACCAGGCCCCCGCCGGGAAGGAGCTCCTGGAGGAGCGGCACAAAGCACCCCTCTGCCCTGGAAAAGCAACGCAGAGACAGCGTGGGAACAAACACCCTTCACCCGGCGTCTTAGTTGTACCGAAGGAGCCCAAGGCCGGGCCCAGGGAGCAGGAGGCGCGGTCCACCCGGGCCACCACCAGAATCGGTCCGACGCAATGCCCTGGAGCATGGAGTCTGAGGACGGCCAGCCACGCGGGGAAGACGTGGACAGCACAGCGTGTTTATTTTGCTCAACATCATCTCTTAGCACAGGAGCAGCTGCCCGTCCGGACTCCAGCCAGGGCCGGGCGGCTGTGCCTGCTCCTGGAGCAGCCTACGTGCAGCCTGCAGGGACCAGGTGGGCAACAGGGCCTTGTCGGCCAGGGATCTGTGCACAGACTGGTGACTGGTGCTTCTGATCACAGCGATGGGGGGAGGAAGCGCGGGGGGGGGGGGGGTGTTTTACAAGCCCCGCCCTCTCCAGGGGAAGCGGCTTGCAGGAGATTTAAAGAGCTGGTCTCCTTTTCTGTCCCCTCCCCCTTAATTTTTCACTTTTTCCCCTTTCAGAGCCAAACAGGAGGAGAAGGTATTAAAACAGCTGTGCACACAGGGAAAGCGAGAGTGACTGGGCATGCTGGGGGACGTCTCAGGAGAGACTGAGGGGACCTTAAGGCCATCCTCCGGAGGCCTTGACAGAGACAGCCTACAGCACTGGAACAGTAGTAACAGACAGCACCCTGGGAAGGGGAGGATGTGGTTTCCAGAGTTACCACGAGAGTCCATCCAAACAGCTGGTGCCCAACAAATGATCACGGGCTACAGAGAAATAGGAAGGTACGGCCGGTTCAAAGGAAAAGACTAAGTCAACGAAGTTGCCCGTGAAAAAGCTCTAATGGCAGATCTAGCAGACAAAGGCCTTTTGTAAAGATGCTCAGAAAGACTTTGAAACCAGCGTCCGGTTCGGTCCCACAATGCAGTTATGCGAATGTCACCACTGGGCGGGGCTGGGCGATGGGCACAGGGGGCCTCTCTGCACTCTTTTTTTTTTGTTTGTTTTAAATATATTTTATTGATTTTTTACAGAGAGGAGGAGAGAGGGATAGAGAGCTAGAAACGTCTATGAGAGAGAAACATTGACCAGCTGCCTCTTGCACCCCCCCCCCCCCACTGGGGATGTGCCTGCAACTAATGTACATGCGCTTGACCGGAATTGAACCCAGGACCTTTCAGTCCGCAGACCGACGCTCTACCACTGAGCCAAACCGGTTTCAGCACTCTCTGCCACTTTCTGGGGGTCTAGAAGTATACAAGGATTAAAAAGTTTAACTTAAACTAAAAGAAAAAATAATTTAAAAAATTAAAGCTCAGGAAATACACTGGATGCCAGAACGGAAAGGACCTGACGGATCGCACGGGCGATTTTAACACGTTTCTTTAAAAGAAGGAAACGGACTCGGGCGCCTTGTCCAGGGCATGGCCTCGGAGTGCAGCACATCTCGCCTCAGCAGCCGGCTGTTCCTCTGGCACGTTCCGCCGGCTCCCTCCGCTGGACCCTCCTCTCCGCTCTGACCCCCGGAAACGGCCCGCGGGCGTGGTCCCCGGGCAGCTGCGGGCGTGGCGCTCGGTTCCCCTGGCCCACGTGGTCCTTCGTCCGTTAGAACGCTGAAGCCATCACACACAGGCGGGCAGGCGGTGATGGCATCGGGCTGGGAAGCCGGGCACAGACGCCTTGTTCCCTGGGCCGGGCTGCCATCGCCCGCCCCAGGGAAGCCAGCACATGTCGCTTCTCACGGCAATCGATGCACACACGTGTCGGAGGAAGCACAAACACTCCCTGAGCAGCGCACCTGAGACCGATCCGTCTCAAACAAGCACCCCCGGGAGTGGCTGAAGCAGCCGAAATGCGAGCGCTGGCGTTTGTGCTGCGTTTCTGTTTCCCCCTTTCCACCGCCTTTTACTTCCACGCCGGGGAGCGAGAGGAGAAGTGCATCATCGAAGACATCCCCAGCGACACGCTGATCACAGGTAGGTGGGGTGCCGTGGCCGCCGGCCCGAGCGTGCACTGTGGGCAGAGCGCGCCACGCCGTGCGTTTCCTCCAGATGGTCTATGCGGTCGTGCGGAGCCAACGTGAGGGGGTCTGAGAGTGACCGGCATATTCATAAACAGGAAGCACAGAGGCAGCACCACAGAGTGCAAGCCTGATCTGTTTTTCCGTTGTCATGTTTCCTTCAGTGAGAGACTGATGCCAGCAATTCTGCTAGGTATGGCTGCGTTCTCCGAAGACACGCGAGGGCCCTGGGCAGCTCCGGGAAAACAGACAAAACAGATGCTAACGGGTCCTCTGAATGCCCACGTCCCACAGGGTGGGGCGGCGAGGGGCCTGACTGAGGCCGCTGCCCAGGCCGGCTGCCCACGCAGCCTGCCACCACCTCGGGCACGGCTGCTCGCGCCCATCCCACCCGTACGCCCGGCCCCGCGAAGCCTCCCTGGCCTGCTGAGAGGAAGCACGTGGCAGGGCTCAGGGTGGCACAGGAAACCCAGGGTATTCAACGTTCAACATCAAACGCCCCGATCTCCATGCAGAAAAGGAAAAGAGGGGGTGCGAACCGCTCGTTCTTTGCCGGGCTGGTCACGCGTGTGTATGTGCAGTCACTCCAGGGCGTGGCGTCAGGCCCTCCTGCGTCCTTGGCCTCCACACGGGGGAGTTCTACTGCAAACGCCAAGATCCATCCTGCCAAAGCCCCTCCTGGCACCTGCCAGGGCAGAGGCGGCAGCTGCGGTGTGGGACGGACCTCGGGGACGGGTCGCCTGCAAAGCAGGCCCAGAGGCCCTGGTGGCAGAGCCCCGCAGTGGCCGCGGCACGGTGGGCATGGGCTGGGCTGGCACTGCGGAGCGTCGCCAGGTTCGCGTCCCAGCTCCGCCGTCCGACAGCTACGTGCCCTTAGGCAAGCGATCTGGCCTCTCTGCTTCACGGGTAAACGGCATGAAATAACAGTAACCACCATTAATTTGGTTGTGATGACGCCTGGATTAATGGGGTAAGGCTCGCAGGACTCAACCGCACACTCCCCTGACCCCGACTCTTCACCTCAGGGATGCCCAGCTCCCGGGGCAAGCCCAGTGGTGGGCGATCGCTGTCCCAGGAACCGGGAGCCTCTCAGCCTGCGTGAAGGGGTGGCGGGCAGTAGGAGAAACAGGAGTAGCCTACCTCCCCTTCGCCCACTGCCTGAGGCCACGAGCTGGGCGGACTTGGCCCAGGGCACGCTCGCTGGCAGGGCGCCCGAGCATCACCTGACCCCGGGAGGGTCTGAGGCAGGAGGCCGAGGCCAGCGGGGGTCTGCGCTGCCAGGAGCAGGTCCCGGTCTGGCCGCCCCTCCGCCCCAATCAGGGCCTCTCTTCGTCCTTGTCCCCCATGAACATTGGGACCACCCCCTCCTGGTCCTCGCTGCCTCCAGCTGCCCCTCTGCCCTGCCTGCCCCCGCCTCCGTCTGCTCGCCCCGCTGTCCCCTCTGGACCCAGCACCCCGTGCAATTATTTACTCAGCTTCCAAAGTCCACTGTCACCACAGGGACAACTGGGCAATGTGCCCGGTCACCTGCTCACATTTTCTTTAACAGAGAACGTGGCCCTCAAGTCCCAGAGGTGTAAGATGCTAATAGAGAACGGGGGGCGGGAAAGGCAGGAAAGAGGGGTCAGCAGGACAAACGGAAACAGACAGAAGAACGAAGGCGGAAGCCCGGCTCCTGTGACACTGCGCTGCGTGAACGTGGACAGCGCTCCCGGAGAAGACAGATCCACTGGGTCTAAAAACAAAACACTTTCCCAATGAAACCCTCACTCAGGGAGGAATGAGAGGAAAAGAGGAAAGACATGCAAATGTGGGCGAAGGAGAGTGGGTGTGCGGGGACATGCAGAAAACCCGTCTCCCAGAGATAAGGGACTCTGGGCCCCCTTTAGAAGGCATCTGAGCACACCCGTGTGACCACGGTCCGGTGGCCACAGCCAGGCCGCTCCTCAGCAGCCCACTGTGTACACGTGCCACGTGTCAGAAGAGCATGTCTCACAATACAGTTCTGACACGTTTCTTTAAACCCCTTTCGTGAAAAAGCTTTGCTTCCTGTTCGCTGTGCGCTGTGTCCCCGGTGTGTGTCTTCAGCGAGGACCTGGCCGGTTCGCCGGCTGGCCGCGGGGACCGCCTGACGCTGTGGGCCAGGAGCTCGGCACCTGTGCTGCCGGCGCCGGGAAGGGCTCCACGCTTCCCAGCTCACTGGCCCGGCACAACACCTTCGCCACGGTGACGTCCCGGGGTCCACCTGGTGCACGCTCGGTCGTGAGCATACTTGGTTCAGGAAAGCCGATCCAGACCGCCCTGAGGTTTAACTTTCAGATCGCCGCTAAAGGGACAGACAGACGGTTCCTGGGAGCCCGCGGGGCCCTGAGGCTGGGAGGAACACAGCCAGCTGCTGCTTCTCTCCTCACAGCCCGAGGGCCGATCTCGCCCACGAAAGGCACGCCGGGCGTGCCCAGAGCCCTCGGAGCCGGCACCAAACCTCCCGAGTGGGCTTTGCTCCCTGGGACTGAAAATAGCCGGCCGGCCGGGAACATGAGCTCGGCCCGCCTCCCCCGTGGGCAGCTGGGGCCCACAGCGAACAGAGACCGATCTGGGATCGAGGCGCGACGTGCTTTGCAGCTGCCTCTGCTGCCCGGTAGCCGGTGACTCTGAGCTGTTTCCCTATCTGTAACCGGGAGCTGCACCTGCCCGGAGGACACCTGGCAGGAGGTGACCGGCCGCAGGTGTTTATCACCGTCGGGCCCCGCCCCCTTGGACTCTGTCCCCGACCCTGTCACCTGGCCTCCCCGGAGAAGCAGGTGTGGCTGCCACTGCGGCTCACGTCCCTCCCCCAAGGGAAGAACACGTCCTGAGAGCAGAGAAGACACGGGCACTCCCTTCCCGGGAGCTGAGAGGGCAACAGCGGGACCGAGGGCCACCCAGGCCAGGGCGCCGGGGTCAAACGCAGTTGCTTGGGAATGTGCTTAGAAGTGCAAAGTCAAATGTACAATATTCTGCGTTTGTATAGAGCTTCTCTGAGCTCTCTTAGCACTGCTCTCTAAGAACACGTGCCAGACGGTCTTAATGAAAAGGGAGAGGAGCAGCAGGCAGGCACTTCTGGAGGGGCCTCGTGTAGGTGCCGGCTGCCAGCTGGGTGAGTTCTGAAACCACTTGCTGGTCCTTGCACACATGTTTTTTAAAAATAAGGCTGTTAGTCCCTTAGAAAAGGCAGCACTGAGAGCAATCGAGTGGTGCCACGGAGCACAGAGATCATGAAAAATAAAATAATTAGAATTATGAACCAGTGCATTTGCTCTTGGTTGCTCCCTTTCAAAGATCCCAGATAGGACTCTGCGCTCAGCCACAAACCAGGGTGGTGTGTGCTGTTTCTCTAGAGCAGAACGCATCAGGGAGCAGGAAACATTAAATGGCTGCTCTAATTTAGGCCTAGAAGAACGTTTAAGGAGATAGAAAGACGGTCACAAAATAGGGTGGAAAAACCAAGTTACCGAGAGTAGGTGCAGCCTCATCTCCTCTTTTTAAAATACATTTTTTACCGATTTCAGAGAGGAAGGAAAAGGACAGATAAAAACATCAGTGATGAGAGAGAACCATCGATCGGCTGCCTCCTGCACACCCCTTAGGGGACCGAGCCAGCAACCCGGGCCTGTGCCCTGACCAGGAATCCAACCATGACCTCCTGTTGCATAGGTTGATGCTTAACCACTGATCCACTCTGAGTGGGCAGCATCAGCTTATTTTTTATAAAATATATAATTTCTATTTCTAGGGAAAAGGTCTGGAGGATCATACTGAGCACAGAAAACTCCTAGGGCGGGGATTTTTTGCTTCCTAAAATTCCTACAATGGATGCATTTTATTTTTCTGATACTAAGTCGAGTGCCCATGGCTCCAGCCTCAAGGACTAGGGGTCAGGGACAGCACGTCAGGTCACAGGACAGGAATGAGAGCCTGGCCAGCGCGTCACTGCGCCGGGGAGGCCAGGGGAGGCATCAGTGTGCCTGGGGTCACGGGTCTGCACAGCCCCCGCTCTCAGCCGTGTCCACTGAAGGGACCCCGAGGAAGGGTGCCTGGCAGTGAGGCTGGCCGCTCGCTGTGTACCGAGCTGGGGGAACGTGCTTTGCGGGGAGAGCACAAGGCCCTGGACTCGGGACCTTGTCACTCGCTCAGCCTTTTGCTGTCGGGTGTTTGCAGAGGAGTCGTAGGGCCTGGGCCGCCTGCTCTGTGGCAGTGGGGACGATTGTGCCAGCATTACAGGGAGCTCACAGAAACACTGCCCAGTGAAAGCCACAAAACTGCCCAGAATCACGTATCAAGGCATGCACAGAGCCTACAATGTGCCAAGTCCTGTGTTAAGCAGCTGACAAATATTAAATCACTTTTTAAAAATGATTATTGATTTCAGAGAGAGAGGAGAGAGAGGGGGGAGAGGGAGAGGAACATCGACTTGTTGTTCCACTTATCTGTGCAGCCATCAGTTGGTTCTTGTATATGCCCTGGCCAGGGATCAAACCCACAGCCTTGGCACCCTGGGACGACACTCTGACCACTCAGCTACCAGGCCAGGACTTAGCTCACTCTTCATACCCTAGATACTTGCCTTCGCTATCTTGGTTTTACAAGATGGGGAGGCTGAGGCACAGTTCCATGTTCTGCCCATGTGCTCATGACTAGCCAGAAGCCCCTGCCCTGCCCTGTCCTGTCCCCTGGCAGCTCCACCCACACTAAGGCCAGCTCTCCCAGCATGCTTCTCTCCTGCCATCTGGTGGTAACTGAGGAACATGACATCTCCCTCCAGCTCCCCTTCCACCAGGGGCCCAGCGGGGGGCTTGGGGCTGGGTGAGGATGGCGAGAGAGAGCGAACAGAAACCACCTCTCGTTCTGATTACTCAGGCAGCGCGCCAAGTACACTGGCGTGCTGACAATGGGCCACTGACATTCATTCAGAACTCTGTATTGAACATGTACTGGGGGCCTTTCTACCACCCCACAAATCCTTACCAAGCTTCTACCCCGAGCCAAAGGCTGCCCTGGGCTCACGGCCAGGCCCCAGCAGCCCGCGGAGGAGGACACAGCACCAGCCTCAGCGAACAGACACGGGATGGCGACAGAGGAGCTGGCACAAGGGCAGGACCCGGAGTGGGCAAGTGTGGGAGTGACAGGAGCCAAGTCCCGGGCAGGGGAGGGCAGCCACCGGCAGACAGGGGCACCCCACCGGAGGCAGGCAGAGGGGGGCTGCACAGTGAGCACCAGGTGGCGGAAAGATGCTGTCCCCGCCGGAGGCCAGGGGGCCGTCTCAGGTGTGTGGGCTGCAGGAAGGGACTAAAAGACACGCTGAGCCTGGCTGGCTACCGCACAGGCTGCTCAGACGTGTGTGCGGGACGCCAGGAGAGACGGGCAGAGGCGCCCGGGGGGTCACGCACGCGGAAGCCTCCCACCATGTGGCCGTGTTCTCTTACTCAGTAAAGCCCCGAGTTCACTCCGCCTCTTCAATCTGTGGGCTTCCTCCTCTGAACAGATTTGGGGCTCCCAGCCTTCGTTTCTTCCAGTTTGCTTTACTGTGCTTTGCAGGTGTTGCATTTTTTACAAACTGAAGGTCAGACTCCACCAGCAAAGACTGTAACTCACTGGAGGCTCAGACGATGCCGGCGCTGTTAGCGTGGAAGTATTTTTAATTAGTATGCATGTTTTTAGGCGTGTGCTGTCACACCCGGACCACCGTACGGTGCACACGCTTCCCCGTGCGCTGGGACACCAGAGGTCACAGGACTCGTGCGCTGCCACATGCACTTCGGGCGTGTCTGCCTGACCTGCGGCATCTCCGAGGCGTGGCTGCACTTCTCCCCCGGACCTTGTTCAGGTCCATGAGCCCCCTCCCCCACTCAGTTCCTTTTCATTTAACAGATTTCATTACTTCTCTTGGCCCAACTTCAAGATCACTGACTCTTTTTCTTTTGTCTACCGTCTTTTAGTGAGTCTATCTGGTACGTTTTCAGCGTCGAATATTGTATTTTTCCTATTCTGTGTCCACTTTTTCTTTTATACCTTCTACTCTTTTGCTGAGAATTCCTATTTTTCTATCATTTAAAGGGTGTTCCAACTTCTAGCTGATGCATTTTTATGACGGCTGTTTAGAATTTCTGTCAGATAATTCCAACATCTGTGTCATTAGGATGTTGGTGTCTGCTAACCATCTTTTCTCATTCAAATTGAGACTTTCCTGGTTCTTGGCTTGGAGAGTAACCCTGTAATGTAACGTATCCTGGACAGTTTGAGCGTTATGTGTGACTCTGAATTCCATCTAATTACTGTTTCAGTAGGCAGCCGGCCCATTCAGACTCTGCACGCGTGCTCCACGTCGGCCCACCTAACACCCGGCAGCGTTCCACAGGGCAGGTGGGCCCTCTGAGCCTCTGCCACGCTGGGCCCGGGTGGCTATGGCACCGGCCGCTCAGACGTGTGTGCAGGACGCCGGGCGAGGTCTTCAGGGCCCCTTTCTCCAGCTCCCGCCTCTGTGACCCTCCCTCAGCGCTCTGGGGCTGAAGTGGGACGGTGCCTCTTTACAGTCCTCCAGTGCAGGGCGGGCCTCAACATCAGACGTGTCCGGGGGAGGAGAGCAATTGCTTCCACCTGGGGCAGGGCAGGTAGGCGTGCAGGGGCTGCATCCTGCAGGATCCTTTGACCAGGATGACATATTGGGAGTGGGTTTTCTCACTTCCTTCCCCCCGACTCTCTAATCTGGTCTGGCTCCCAGGTGAGACTGTGTAGTGTGGGAAAAACAAACTGAATGCACTGCTGAGTCATGCTGAGTCAGTGAGCTTGCTTTTCCATCTTGCAGAGTTTGCTGCCAGCTGCCCAGCACTCAGTTGTAATTAGCAGGAGGAAGAGGTGGAATAGACTTGCTCCATCTTTTCCAGAACCATCTATGATACTTCTTAAAAGACCTTAAGGCGGACCGTTCTAAAAACGGCAGCGTATACAGTCAGCAGACTTCTAAAGGGAGGAGGGCAGGTCTATGCAAAAGACCCCGAGGGTCACAGTCGCTCAGGGTGCAGGCTGCAGCCTCCACCCAGGACATGCTCTCTCGGTGCCCTGCAGGGTCCCCACTTCCAGAGCCGCCCCTGCCGCTGCGTGAGGGAAGGGCTCCCATCTCAGGTCCCTGTCAGGGCTGGCCGCTTGCCTCCCACAAGGCCGTGTGCGCGGGAGACCTCTGGCTTTCGCAGCGGGTGACTTTGGTGGTGATTCTGCCTCTGCAGCGTGGTCCTGGACGGCTCGCGGCTGTGACTCTCTCTCTGAGACTGGGCTCCCAGCTTGAACAACAGGGACAGTAACACAGACTCCAGCATTCTGCACAGCCCCCGCACTAGCACCTGGTCCACACCACCTGGACTGCAACAGCCTCCAGCTTCCACTCCTGACCCTTCCTCCTCCTTTTCTCCACACAATAAAATCTCAAAATGAAAACCACTTTTCACTCCTCCAACCAATAGCTTCCCCAGATCCCTACAACGGACCTGTAGGCCCTCCCTGGTCTGGCCCCGGCTCTCCCGTCACCCATCTCCCTGCTAAGCATTCTCTCCCTGCTAACCTCCCTCCGGCCATCGGCTGTTTCTCAGACAGCGAGCACGCCCCTGCCCAGGACCTCTGCACGTGCTGCTGCACAGACGGCCCTTTCGCCGGGTGTGTATGTGTGTGTGTGTGTGTGTGTGTGTGTGAGGGGCAGCGCCACGTGGTGCTGAGGGAAAAGGCACATGCTGCTGGCTCTGAACCCCGAGTCTGCCACGTGCCAGGATGTGACCTCTGGCAAACGGCTTTTTCTGTGCTGTGGCTTCGTCGTCTGCAAAGCATCATAAGAACAGGCCCCGCAGCCCTGGCGGGTGGCTCGGTCGGTTAGAGCATCATCCTGAAACACCGGTAAGTTCGAGTTCTGTCCCTGGCCAGGGCACATACAACAGCCAACCAAAGAAGGAATAAATAAGTGGACAACAAATCCATGTTTCGTTATTTCTCCCTTCTCCTCACTTTCTAAAGATCGATTTTAAAAAATAATACCTAACTATATAAAGTTGTCGTTAAAATTCAGATTATGTGTGAATTCCTTAGAAAGGTGCTTGGCACACAATTAGCACGGAGTGTGATAGAAACATCACTTTCATGTGACATTTCTAAGTGTAAACAGTATAAAACTGTCTATCTCTACGCCCTCTTCTCAGGCCTCTGCTCGAGGCCAGCAAGCCCCCCGACGCCCCACAGCGTCCTCGGGTCCCTAGCCCGCGGCCGCGACCTGCTCCCATCCGCCCAGCGCTCCGACACTGGGAGCCCGTCTGCTCGCTGTCACTGCTGCGGGAAAGCTCCCCGGACAGACGCTGTCCGTTCTGCTCCCGTCCTCAGCTCCGGGAGCAGGCCCCGGCCCGTGACACACGTGTCACACAGGGGGGTGGAGGAAGGAATGCATGGGTACCAACACTTTCCTAAGAGCACGCTTTGAGGACGCACACGGCAGTGAGTGTTAAATGCTAACAGTGCCCGGCGGACATAGGTGTTAGCCAGCTCTTCCTGCAATCGCACCTCTGGAGGCCGAGGGGGAAGCTGAGCCACGGGAGGCTTATCGGGTCCGGAGGGAGAAGGCGGGGGCCCTTCGGCAGCCCCAGCTCAGCAGGAGCCCGTGGAGACAAAAGCCTCGGGCAGGCACACACCTATGCGTGGAGAAGGGATGGTGCGGAGAGCTCAGGGTGAGTGGGGTCGGGGAGACACGGAGGCGGAACTCGAGGAGGTGCTGGAGGAGGCCCTGCACGGCCACGCCGGGTCAGGCTCTGGCGGAAGCTTCGTAGCCGTCTTGCCTGCAGCCCCGCTGAGCCCGCAGAGGACTGAACTGGTCCCCTCCTCGCTGCACAGAAACTCGGGCTCCGGGCGGCGACACCACCGTAGACAAGCAACCGGGACCAACGGCTCAAACCTTCCACAGATTCCGGTTTTCCGTCCCTGCCATGTGACCCACGTGTGTACACGGCTGTAAAGCACGGGCGTGTGGCGGTGATCACGGTAGCCGGGCCTGCCGGTTCCCCTGTGACCTGCCGTGTCTTATGCTCTGAAACAGGCTCCTTCAAGCTGCAGCAATGGGACGTGGCTGGACAGGACTTCCTGGAATCGGCGCCCGGCCTGGGGCTCTTTGTGACCGTCACAACCTACAGCGAGGAGGTAAGACGCTCTCACGTCATGTCACTCCCGTGTTCCCGGCCCTAAAACTCACAGGCGCGTATCCCCAGGAATGCTTAAAATCTCCGCGTGAGCACGCATCAACCAGCATTTTCACTTTCTAACATTCAGTCAGGCACTGCACCAGGCACAGAGGGAGCCTGCTATCACAGCCTCGTCTAGCTGATGCCCGCACAGAGAGAGTTTAAAAACAACACAAACCGAGTTGTGCTGGCTGGGCCTGCTGGGCAGAGGGCACCCACGGGGACAATGCGACCCAATGCTTCTGCCGGGGCCACACACACCCCCTCCCCTGAGGGCCAGGCAGGGCAGCTCCCTCGGGGCCTGGCCAGGCCCCCCATTCCTCGGCAGCCTCTGGGCCTGTCTGGCCTCTCTGGGAGTTAGCAAAGGGCCAGGAGAGGCCTCCTGACCAAGGGGAGCAGACGGGTGTTGGAATCAGAGCCAAGGTACAGTGCAGACTGCCTCTCGGCTGAGTCCTGGACAGGACACTGGTCTGCGTGACCCTCCACTTTCCGTCCGCACGATGGATAGAAGGACGTCCACCCCTGGCCAGCCAGCCCAAGGTGCTCTGACCTGCTCGGTGAGCACCGCTGCCACGTGACTGCCTAGTCCTGTGATGGCTCACAGGGAGCAGACGGTGTGGAGCGCCGCCTGGTGGAACAGGCACCTCCCTGCGCGGAGAGGAACTCGGTGTAAGCAGGACAACGTTCCTCTTCTCATGAAAACGAGGGGTACCTGGGCCTGGCGTAGGGCAGACGTGTGACACCCTGCTTGTGTGGAGGCTGGGGCGGTCGCTGGCGACGCCAGTCCAGCTGGACGAGTGGGCAGTGGTTCCTGCTGAGGTAGGTTCTTCTCTTGGCGCACTGGGCACCTCCCTCCTAGCAGGGCCACGGGCCCCGCTCCCTCCTCCAGTCTCCTGTCCTCCCTGCACTCCACCTCCCGTGGCCCTTGTCAGGGTCCCAGGGCCCAGGTCTCTCGCTCTTTCCCAAGGAGTCTTTCATGAGCAATCTGGAACGGTCTCCGCCGAGTTACTAAAACCAGAACCCGAATCCTAGTTGGGCTGAAAACTGTCACAGGAAAATCTGTTTACTGTTATTAAGGCAGAAGGTCTGTTCCTCAACACAACCGCCTGAGAGAGGAGCTACGTTCTGCTCATTCTGCAAACACCCAACACGTCTCACTGTGGGCCTACTGCATGCCCGGCCCTCTGCTTGGCCTAGGAGAGACCAAACTCTTCATCTTCAGGCCTCCTTTCCAGGAAGGCCCTTGCGTTTGGAATATGATAAGAAACGGCAACACCCTAATGGTTTGGCTTAGTGGATAGAACGTCGGCCTGCAGACCGAAAGGTCCCAGGTTCAATTCCGATCAAGCGCTTGATCCCCAGTGTGGGGCGTGCAGGGGGCAGCTAACCAATTATTCTCTCTCATCATTGATGTTTCTATCTCTCTTTCCCTTTCACTTCCTCTGAAATCAATAATAATATATTTTTTAAAAAGAAGAAGAAATGGCTCTAGTCTCAGCATTTCGTATAAGATCAGATCCCCATTTAAGATACCTATCGGCACCCCCACAGGACAATGGGGGTTTGGGGTCCTCTGAGTTGTGTCCATTCATGTGACTGACAGCTTAATAGGATAACATGCGTATGCAGGGCAGAACACATCAGCAATGCATATGTACCACACATACATGTCTCCTGTGCTCCATTTCTCACTATTCCGTGTCCAATATTCCTATTCCATGTTGTGGAAGAAAACCTGTTGTTCTGAGAGATTACATGACAGACACGAGCTCACCACCAGCAAGTGGCAACAATGAGAGTTAAACTCGTGTATGTGTGTCTTTTCCAACACACCAATCAGCAGGCATTCGGCGTGTGTGCTGACTTGACTGTGCCCTGGAAGTAGACTGTGCAGAGCCTGAAGCAGACAGGAAGCTGAAGCTCAGACACCGAATGTGATAACCAGCAGTCACAATGCTTTTTCAGAGAAGAGTTCTCTGTTACTCATTTAAAATCAGAAATCCACGGCAAAATCAGACCTTTGAATGCCGCCTATTCAATAAAATCTCCCAATCAAGCCTGGCTGGGGTGGAGTAGTGGACTGAGGGTTGTCCAGTGCAGGGGTCACTGGTTTGATTCCCAGTCAGGGCACATTCTAGGATTGGGGGCTTGTTCCCCACTGCGGGTGTGCAAAAGGCAGCTGCTCTCATTGATGTTTCTTTTTTTTAAAGTATTTTTTAAAATATTTTTTATTGATTTGGGAGTGGGAGAAAGAGACAGAAACACCAGTGATGAGAGAGAATCATTGATGGGCTACCTCTGGCATGCCCCACACTGGGGATTGAGCTCACAACCCGTGCATGTGCCCTGACTGGGAATCCAACTGTGATCTCCTGGCTCATAGGTCAATGTTCAACCACTGAATCACATCAGCCAGGCTTCATATATTTTTATGGATTTCAGAGAGAAAGGGAGAGGGAGCGACAGAAACATCAATGGTGAGAGAGAATCATCAGCTATACTCTTTTTGTAAACATTTTTTTTAATGGTTGCCCCAGGGTTTGCAATATGTATTTGCTACTAGTCCAAGGCCACTTTCAAACAACACCCTGTCACTTCACAGCAAGTGCCTTACAAGCACTCGTTATCCCTAAGGCGTCTTCCCACTGCTGCCATTCATTTCACTGGCACAGTCAGTACTGCTGTTATTGTGAACAACTGTGATGTGTCAGATCATAAAGAAAAATTAAGTGTTAAAGTTTACTTTCACTTACTCCTCCTCTAATGCTCTTCTGTTCTTTATGTAGATCCAAGTTTCTGACCTGTTTTGTTTTCTTTTTCTCTGAAGAACTTAATTAACATCTCTTGCCTGGCAGGTCTATCAGTGACAAATTCCCTCGATTTTTTGTTTATCTGAGAAAATCTTTGTTTCTCCTTCACTTTTGAAGGAGACTTTTGCAGGATACAGAATTCTATGATGGCACAGTTTTCTCTCTCTCTCTCTCTCTCTCTCTCTCTCTCTCTCTCTCTCTCTCCCCTCTCTCTACTTACTTGATGGATGCTAAGGGTTTCCCCTCTGGTTTCTTTCATGAGTGTATCTTTAGTATCTGCAGTTTCAACATAACATGTTTGGCCATCTATCCTGCTTGGTGCTCTCTGCGCTTCCTGCTCTGTGGCTTGGCACAGACATGACTGTGGAGGAAGTTCTCGGTCACTGATGCTTTACGTGTTTCTTCTGTTCCTCTCTTCCCCCTCAGGGGTTCCCACTGTGTGTTACACCTTCTGCAGCTGTCCCATGGTCCCTCTGATTTCTCTTGGCTTTCAGTTTTGGAAGTTCCTGTGGACCTATCCTCAAGCTCCGAGGCTCTTTCTCACTGTGTCCCGTCTCCTAAGGAGCCCGTCGGAGGCCTTCTTCACTCTGCAATCCTTACCTCCCGAGTTTCTTTCTGATTCCTCCTTCGGCCTTCCGCCTCTCTGCTCACACTGCCATCTGCTCTAGCATAGTGTCTACTTTTTTCATTAGAGCCCTTAGCACATTAGTCATAGTTTTTCTAAATTCCTGTTCTGATCACTCCAATATCCCAGCATGTCTGAATGTGATCCTGTCTCTTCACACCGTGTCTCTTGGCTTTTAACGTGCCTCGTGATGGTGGTAAGCTGCACATGGCGTAATGGGCGAAGGGAACCCGGAACTGGTTCCCACAGCGGTTCTTCTCCGGCAAATTGTATTCTTGGTATTTCCTTGTTCTTCTCTCCGGTTTTGGAGGCAGCAGTTTGCCCTGTGACCTCAATTCTCTGACAGATCTAAGAAGTGATTTCCTTCTGTCCAGCTTTTTACTCGCTGTTAGGACAAAACTGCTTCTATGCCAGACTAGAAGTCCTATACCTGTTTTAAAATCCCAAACAATAGATAAATAAACCAAAGTCCCCAACAATTTGGTGTGTTCTTTACAATTCTCTTGTAAGCACGTGGAAACATATATATGTATTCGTTCTTTTATAAATGATGCCTTTTTTACAAAAAGAGGATCCTACACAGACTGCTCTACCACAGGATATGATGATCACCTTCTATAGAGATATGGATAGCCTATATAATAAAAGGATAATATGCAAATTGTCCTCTCAGGAGTTATACTGACCTGGAGTTTGGCCACTCGCTACGACGTATGCTGACCACCAGGGGGCAGCATGGAATGAAAGTAGGCCCCAGCCCCAGCCAGCAGCCAGCAGCCAGCAGCCAGCAGCCAGGGGAAGGGAGGCCCAGATCAGCCCTGGTCACCGGCAGGGTATAGGGACTCTATCCACGCATGAATTTCATGCACTGAGACTCTAGTAATATACTAGTGGCCTGGTGCACAAAATCCATGCACATTAAAAGGGAATTAATTAGAAGAAACATTTTAATATTGCTATTTGCCCTTTTCTCTATAATAGAAGTGTCAGAAATGAAAGAAAATTAGTAACATGTATATGAAAATCTCCCTCCTGTCAGGGGTGCGCCATGGGACCCAGAGTCAGGTCCCCGCCCACCACCCGCACACACTTTGAAAATGCAGGAGACCCAGACCCACCAGCCCTACCCCCATCGGGTGAGACCCAGACCTGGCTGGCCCCACCCCCATTAAGCCCCTCTGGCAGGGGGGCAGCCTCAGGTCCCCCAGCCCGGCAGGGGGCGGAGGCACAGCCTCATGTCCTTGGCCAGGTGCGGGGAGGGGGGGAGGGGCAGGGGGGGCACATACTTGGGTTACAGGTTTGATCCTGTTGGGGCACATACAGGTGGCAACTGATCGATATATCTCTCCCACATCAATGTTTCTCTCTCTCCTTCCCTTCCTCTCTAAAACTAATGGAAATATCCTCAGATAAAGATTTAAAAAAAATTAATGTAATGTTTCTACTATGAATAACATCACACTGGATATCCTTTTTATGGAAACTTTATCTACGTGTAAACTTCTGTGGGTAGAACTGCTGGGTCACTGGTTACACACATTTTAATAATCAACACAGAGTGCCAAAGTGCTCTCCGGTAAGGTTGCTCAATTCCGAAAACAGTATTTGGCAACACGTCCTTGGGCACTTGTAAATTGTTGCCAACCTGGTCACAAACAAGGGCTATCGTACGGTGGTTTGTATTTGTATTTTTATTTTTATTTTTATGAAGCCTGGGTATTTTTCATGTTTGATTTCTTCTTTGGGAATGGCACACTTTTTACTAGATGTACAGAAAAGACTCGTTTTTAAGAATGGCAACAGAGAACAATAAACTTACACTGTGGAAATCCTCCATCCTAGGTATTACTGTCCAAGCTGTATGGCCCACAAGGAATGTTCCACTTCACTTCCCACTCCCCTGGCGAACACATCATTTGCTTAGAATCTAATTCCACGAGGCTCGTGTCCTTTGGAGGCAGTAAGCTGGTGAGTCCGCCCCACGTCGCGGCTGCTGAGCACAGTGTCAGCGCTATTCCGGCGACATCAGTATGCAGAGCCGTGACCCGGGCCGGCTCGAAACCTGGTAAAGCCCTGCGCCCAGGCCTCAGCGCGCAGCCACGGAGGCGCTGGGAAGCTTGGACGGGGTTCAGAGGAGCGCCACCAGGTTGATTAAAGGCTTGAAAAGTAAGAACTGTGAGGGGAGATTAAAGGAACTGTGATTATTCAGGCTTGAAAACAAGTGAGGGCTGAGGGTGAATTAATAATGGAATCCCAATAAATAAAACCCTTCACGGTGGATGGTGATTGCTATTTCCTAAATGTGCTGGGAACTAAGGAGGAGAATGTGTACTTTAGCATCGGAAACCCAGTTGTGTGTAAAGAAGCTTTGCTGGGAGTAATCAGGTTCTCAGCACCAAACGCATGTGCCTGGTAGTAAATCTGATGCCCAGGAGGGTGTGAGCCCTCGGGGCGGGAGGTGAGCTTTCAGTGCGTTGTTATTACAAAGAGGACTGCTGAGCAAAACGGGGGACAGCGTGGCAGTGAGGGGAGGGGGGATGCAGAGCTTGGGGCTGCCTGCTCTTGAAAGGGGGGGAAGGAAGGAGAGGAACTGAGGACACGAAGAGAGAGAGGAGAAAGGGGAGCTGTTTTAAAAGCGCGCTTCTTGCCGAGACCGGTTTGGCTCAATGGATAGAGCGTCGGCTTGGGGACTGAAGGGTCCCGGGTTCGATTCCGGTCAAGGGCATGTACCTTGGTTGCAGGCATATCCCCAGTAGAGGGTGTGCAAGAGGCAGCTGATCGATGACTCTCTCTCATCGATGTTTCTAACTCTCTATCTCTCTCCCTTCCTCTCTGTACAAAATCAATAAAACATATTTTTTAAAAATAATAATAAATAAAGGCGCGCTTTTTCGTTCTGTTTGCACAGCGGATCCACTTGGACATCCGCGTCGGAGAGCATGGCCTCGATGCTGCCATCGCTCAGGCCAAGGACAAAGTTAACGAAGTCAGCTTCAAGCTTGAACATCTAATTGAGCAAGTTGAGCAAATAGTCAGAGAACAAAACTATCAAAGGGTCAGTCTGCCTGTCCGGCTCATTTTCTCTCTTCCTGCCAGGAATGCAATTCCGCAGACCAAGTCCCTGAACCGAGGAAAGAATAAACTGCGTGCTCCTTGGTCCTTCCCTCTGGGCCACACTGCGTGTCCTAACCACAGGCAGTTCTGTCCCCTGGTCAGCAGGCTCCTCTGGGGCCGGGGGCTGCGGCCCACACACCTTCGGGGTGTGAGTTTACAGAATGGATGAGTGAGTGCTTTACGGATCTGACGAGGCTGAGCATGCCCACGTCCTAAATCACAGTTTTGGTCCCCTGGCAGCATGAGTTTTCTGGGTCACTGCACCCACTGGACTCTGGCTCAAAACTGCTCCACCAAACAATAACCTCGTGTCGTCTCTGGGCCTCAGTGCCCTCATCTGGACATGAGATGAGGGCAGGTGTGCCGGACACAGAGTCCAGCTTAGAGAAAAGTGAGAATTCAAACCATGAAAATATTGGGTAACGTTCACTTTGCATAATAGAGACAGATGTATAGAGAAATAGATCAAGTTCTGGATATTTTACACCAAAATACAAAAATGTCTTAAAAGGTTGGTTCTTAATCCTTGTCTTTGCTAACACCACACCTGGCTTAGGAAATCAGAGATGACACTTTGGTATAAGATACGAATTGAGAAACATCAAATACTTTGTTTTTTATTTGTTTGTATTTTTGTGTGTGTGTTTTATATCAAATACTTTGAATGCATACAGCACTTTCCCCTCAAACTCAGGCAGTAAGTTCTTTAAGAAACTGCCCTGGTTGGTGTGCTAAGTGGTTAAAGCTTCCGGCCCCCTCACCAAAGGGTTGTGGGTTCAATTCCCAGTCAAGGACACATTCCTGGGTTGCAGGTTCAATACCCTCCTCTCTCTCTTTCTCTCTCTCCACCTCCTCCCTCCCTTCCACTCTCTCTAAAAAAGATCAATGGAAATATCCTTAGGTGAGGATTAACAACAAAAAGCAAAAAAAGAAAAGAAAGAAAAAGAAACTAAACCTGCCTATTTCTCTTCTGTATAGGACCGTGAAGAAAATTTCCGAATGACCAGTGAAGACACAAATAGCAATGTTTTATGGTGGGCTTTTGCACAAACATTAATCTTTATCTCAGTCGGAATTTTCCAAATGAAGTACCTTAAAGACTTCTTTATAGCTAAGAAGCTTGTTTAAAATGCTAATAAAGACAGATAACTATCTGATGATTTGCATAACATTTGAGTTAATAAATCAAAATACATTCATGAATGTGTATTACAGCATATCCTTAAATAACATCATTTTGTTTAATATCATCTATATACATAAATAGACCAAACAGCAAACTGAACAAGCGAACAAGTCACTATGATGCTCACTGACCACCAGGGGGCACACATGGAACATGGCAGGCACTGGCCATGGCAGGATGGTGGAGCAGGTGACCGGGGTGAGGCCCTGGTCACTGTCATCGGGGTGAGCCTCTGGTGGTTATTGAAAATTCTTTGCTCCCATGTGCCGTGGTCCTGCCCGGCACTCCCACCCACTGCCCGTGCCCTGTGCTGGCCCTGATTGCTCAGTGCTGTCAGCCAGTGTGAGTGGCGGCTGCAGGCCCTGATCACCCCTGAGGAATTCTCCCCCTCCCCCTGCTCCTGAGCGGTAATCAGGGCAGCAGCTGCTTGCACCCACAGCTGGCGCTGACCCCAATCGCTCCACACTGTCAGCGGGTGTGAGTGAGGCTGGTGCCATCAGTGTGTGGGAGCAGCGGCAACGGGAGCAGGGCTTCCAGCAGACAGGGGACCTGAGGCCATGGTGGGCAGGGCTGGGTGGGGGTGCGGAAGATGGGCCAAGACCTGCCTCTGTGCCCACCACAGCCTCGCAGCCCACAGTTCCTTTCAAGATGCAGGAATTCATGCACTGGGCCTCTGGTTTTGTTATAATGTTGTTAAAGAAAAATGTTTCATTATACGTCATTTTGTTTAAAGTTACAATTTCCAAGAACCTGTCGACAACATCACATGACTCCAGTGGTCAGAGGTTGAGGTTATAGAAGTCTAACACCAATAAGAGGCTGCTTTGAAACGTGGCTCCTGGGTTTGATGGGTAAGCGCATCGTCAGTTCTTAGTTCAAACGGCGTATGCCAGCACTGCCCAACAGAAATGAAGTCTCAGCCACATGGCAACGCTGAAGTTTTCTGCTTGTCACATAACGAAGGTTTTAAAAACCAGCAAAATTAACCCCGGTGACACATACTTAGCCCATTATATCAAAAATGGGCCAGCAGCCAAAAGCGGTGTGGCTCAGTGGATAGAGGGTCAGCCTGCGGACTGAAAGGTTCAATTCTGGTCCAGGGCATGTATCTTGGTTGAGGGCACATCACTGGTAGGAGGTGTGCAGGAGGCAGCTGACCTGATGTTTCTCTATCATTGATGTTTCTAGCTCTCCCTCTACTTTCCTTTCTGTAGAAAATCAATACATTTTTTTAAATGGGCTAGCTGTGGTGGCTCAGTGGATTGAGCATTGTTCCATGGACCAGGAGGTCCCAGGTTCGATTCCCAGTCAGGACACAGCCTGGGTTGGGCTCCATCCCCAGTGTGGGGCATGCAGGGGGCAGCAAATTAATGAATCTCTCTCATCACTGATATTTCCATCTCTCCCTCTTCCTTCCACTCTGAAATCAATTTAAAAAAAAAAAAAAGTATATTTTTTAAAATGTTACCACTGCTGGTGGGTGTGGCGAAGTGATTGAGCACAGACCCCTGGACCACCAGGTCTTGGATGCCCCAACAGGGCACATGCCTGGGTTGCGCTCCACCCCCAGTAGGGGGCGTGCAGGAGGCAGCCCATCAATGTTGCTGTTTCTGTCTCTCCCTCTCCCTTTCTCTCTCTCTAAAATCAATACAAATGTGTTTTTTAATGTTACCACTTACATAGAAATAGCACAGATTGTTACTGCACTCCTTTTCCCATAAGAGGGCTTGGGAACCTGGGTATTATTTTATACTATTTTGTACTAGGCACACACCTCAGCTTAGACCAGGCACATCTCAGGTCATGGCCATGTCCCAGGAGCCACAGCCACATCTCAGGAATCACATCCCCATCCCAGGGGTCACAGCCATGTCACATGGTCAAACCCCATCCCAGGGGTCACAGCCATGTCACAGGGTCAAACCCCATCCCAGGGGTCACAGCCACGTCACAGGGTCAAACCCCATCCCAGGGGTCACAGCCACGTCACAGGGTCAAACCCCATCCCAGGGGTCACAGCCACGTCACAGGGTCAAACCCCATCCCAGGGGTCACAGCCACGTCACAGGGTCAAACCCCATCCCAGGGGTCACAGCCATGTCACAGGGTCAAACCCCATCCCAGGGGTCACAGCCACGTCACAGGGTCAAACCCCATCCCAGGGGTCACAGCCACGTCACAGGGTCAAACCCCATCCCAGGGGTCACAGCCACGTCACAGGGTCAAACCCCATCTCAGGGGTCACAGCCACGTCACAGGGTCAAACCCCATCCCAGGGGTCACAGCCCCGTCCCAGGGGTCACAGCCACATCTCAGGGGTCAGAGCCCCATCCCAGAGGTCAGAGCCACGTCTCAGGGGTCACAGCCCCGTCCCAGGGGTCACAGCCACAGTAGGACGGCCCACGCTGAGCGCAGAGCCATCCTGAACCTGCCCCGGACACCGCTCTCCTGCGCTGCAGCCACCGCCCAGGGCCTCTGAGAGGCGTGAACAGCTCGGGCCGCAGGCGGGCGGCTCCCACCCTGCGGAGAGAATGGCCGCACGTGGGGCAGCACCTAGCCCGGCCGGGCCCTCCGCGTACGCGAGGAGGCACGACCCACTGCCCACGGCGCACCTGGCTCTCAGGTCCCCCCCAGCACCCCCTCCTCCCTGCAACCCCCCGCCCCCCACCTCCACCTCCCTAATCCCCCAGCACCCCCTCCTCCCTGCACCCCCCACCCCCCACCCCCACCTCCCTAATCCCCCAGCACCCCCTCCTCCCGCAACCTCCCACCCCACCCCCACCTCCCTAATCCCCAGCACCCCCTCCTCCCTGCAAACCCCACCGCCCCGCCACCTCCACCTCCCTCCCTAATCCCCCAGCACCCCCTCCTCCTGCAACCCCTCGCCCCCCACCTCCACCTCCTAATCCCCCGCACACCAGCACCTCCTCCTGCCCTGCACCACCCCCGCCCCCCACCCTCCACCTCCCTATCCCCCAGCACCCCCTCCTCCCTGCATCCCCCACCCCCCCCTCCCTATCTCCCAGCACGCCACCCCTCCTCCTGCACCTCCCACCCCCTCCCCCTCCCTAATCCCCCAGCACCCCCTCCTCCCTGCACCCCCCACCCCCCACCTCCCTAATCTCCCAGCACCCCCTCCTCCCTGCAACCTCCCACCCCCACCTCCACCTCCCTAATCCCCCAGCACCCCCTCCTCCCTGCAACTCCCCACAGCGCCCCGCCTCCCATCACCTTCCGGAACCCCTGGCCACCCGTGTCCCCGCCGGCCTGCCTGGACCCACCCTTGCACTCAGTTACGGACAGAGACAGAGGCGGGGCCCCCTGGGCCTCACCTGCCCCTGCGGCCACGCTGACACCATACCTTTGCGAAGGCCCGGCCTGCGGCCCGCTGCCCTCAGGACAGTCCCGCGCCGGGAGGAGGTCCCGGTCCTCGAGCTTGTTGCTCCCCTAGAAGCGGCCGGAGTAGGGGAGACAGCACCCTCCACCCCCCACCCCCCGCGCGCCCTCAGGCTGGGGGTCTCGCTGGGGTTTTGGCGGGAGCACCGGCCGCTGGTGTGCATGCGCGAGGCTGTGGGCGCAGGCGCAGAGCTGCCTTGGGTGCAGGCCCGGATTTCCGGCCTGCCCGGGCCGCTGTGGCCTCACGTGCGGGCCGCGTGGGCGTGGGCGTCGGCGTGGCGTGCGTCGGCGTGGCGTGCGTCGGCGTGGCGTGCGTCGGCGTGGCGTGCGTCGGCGTGGCGTGCGTCGGCGTGGCGTGTTGGCGGCGGCGGCGGCGTGGCGTGTGCGTCGGCGTGGCGTGGTGGCGGCGGCGGCGGCGGCGGCGGCGGCGGCGGCCGTACGCATGGCCAGCTGGGTGTTCTGTAATGGCTGCTTCCAGCCGCCCGGCCGGGCCTCGCGCTTCAGCCTCACCAGCTGCGGCCACGTGTACTGCGAGGGCTGCCTGAGCAGAGGTGGGCGCGCCGGGGGCCCGGGGCGGGGCTGTGGGGAGCAGGCCTGGGGGCGCGGCGGGGCCTCGGGGCGCGGCGGGGCCTCGGGGGCCGTCGGGGCGGGGCCATGGGGGCGGGGCGGGAGTGGCGCGGCCAGTACATGGTGGGGCCAGTGGCAGGGACCTGGGGACGGTGAGATGTCAGCGCTGCGGCGGCATGAAGGGCCTGGGGGTGGGCGTTCCCCTCCACCCCCCACCCCCACCCCCGGGACGGAGGGAAGGGGCCGTGAGCTGCGCTCCATGGGGGGAACGGGTGGAGACGCTGAAGCCGGTCACAACTCTTAGCCCGTAGGAACCCCGCAGAAGGAATGGGGACACCCCGTAGGGCGGCAGAGCCCGCGGTGCTGGGACCCACTTCCCAGCTGGGTCAGGGGACACCGGCGGCAGCGGGTTTGGGGTGCGGGCTGCCGCCTGGGCCCCGCCGCTGGGGGAGGAAGCGAGGCTGCGGGGAGCGGGCCGGGGCCTGCGGGAGGAAAGGCTGGCGCTGGCGCCGCCCCCGCCACGCGATGGAGCTGGGATTCTGGCGGAGCCCCAGGAGCAGGTGCTGCGGGCTCTGGGTTTGGGGCAGAGGCTGGGGAGGGTCGCTGTTTGGGGGCATCTTTGTAAACAGGGAAGAAAAGGATTGCTAGTTGTATAAATCTTCCAACTCCATCCAGAGTCTCACCCACTGTCTGAAGGTGAAAAAAATGTAAGGGCCACAATCCTGCCTGTTAGTCTGTATTTATGTGTAAAAGCACTGCCGACCAGGATAACACAGCATCTGCTCTTTTTTCATATAGGTAAAAAGGACGAATGCTTGATTTGTAAGCTTCCTTGTCAAACAGTTTTACTTTCGAAACATGTAAGTTGAAAACTGCAGCATATACTCTGAATATTTGTTTTAAAATATTTTATTGATTTTTCACAGAAAGAAAGGAAGAAGAGGGATAGAGAGTCAAAAACATAGATGAGAGAGGAACATCGATCAGCTGCCTCCTGCACACCCCTCACTGGGGATGTTCCCACAACCAAGGTACATACCCTTGACCGGAATGGAACCTGGGACCCCTCAGTCCCCAGGTTGATGCTCTATCCACTGAGCCACACTGGTTTTGGCTACTCTAAATATTGATCACCGTGTTTCCCTTCCCATTTGAGATTCAATTTTTAGTCACTTGTGGTGTCTAAAATTTCGTTCATTTTGTCAGTTAACTGGAAGGTCTTACAGAATCTCTAAGTATCATTAGGATTTGGTTTGGGAGACTTCCTACAGCCTTCTTAGTTATAGGTTGGCCTATTGGTCATTTGCTGTGCAATGTGCCTGGGAATGAAAATGTGTTGCATGGATTTCTTCAGTGCAATACAAGCTCCTTAAGGTGAGGGAGCCCTGTCCGGTGTGCTAGTGTTTAGCGTGTCAGCCCATGCACCAAAGGTTGTGGGTTCAAATCCCAGTGGAGAGCACATACATGGGTTGCAGGTTCAATTTCCAGCCTCAGTCAGGACATGGGAATTGAACCAATCGATCTCTCTCACATCAATGTTTCTCTCTCTCTCTTTGTTTCTCTCTCTTTCTCTCTTCCCTCTCTTATTCTTCTCCCTTCCTCCCTCCCTTCCACTCCCTCTAAAAATCAATAGAAAAAATACCTCAGGTGAGGAGTAACAACAAAAAAAGGTGATCAAGTTTGGTTTTTCACAGCTGTTGTATCTAGTTAAGAGGATTGGAGGAAAGTAGGTTTTAAATGGATTGCTGTTGCAGTAGGCTTAAAACAGTGTCTTTTGTTCTCTTTGTAAAATACATGAATTTAACTTGTTCGCTTTAAATTCAGTTACACATAATTGTCCTTTTTACACTTAGGCTCCCCAGATGTGTATTTGATCTGATGTTTTAACCTGTAACAATCACACATTATGCAAATGATACAAAAGATCCCAGTGGAGGAGGGGAAGCCCCAGACACTGTCGCCCAAAGGCAGCAGCAGGAGTGGAGCGTCCGGGCTGTGTGCGCTACTCGGGTTTATTCTTATGAAAATGGTGTTTTCTCAGGCGACATGTTGTGGGCACACCCACACTGTAAAGGTGACTGCATAGCCCTTTAAATATGTTTCTATTGTTTTTATTTTATTTTTATTTTTAGAGGAAGGGAGAGGGATAGAGAGAAACATCAATGGGCTGCCTCCTACACGCCCCCTTCTGGCATGAACCCGCAAACCCAGGCACGTGACCTCTTGGTTCCTGTGTTAATGCCCAACCACTGAGCACTCCGGCCGAGCACCATCCAGTCTTGTCTGTGAACTCACACCTGCTGGCCTCCTATGTGCACCTGGTACGGTCGGCTCCACTGTGAGTCTGCCCACAGCCCCTCTGTGTCTGTCTCCCCTGCTCAGCCTGGCCTCCGTGCTGTGTGGAGCACAGACACCAGGGCTCTCCCCTGACTTCGGGGTCAATGGAGTGTTTCCGTGGGGTGCTGTGTGCGGCGTGGGTTTTTTTGCTAAGTTTTTATCATAACGGTGTTGAGCTTTACCTACGAGCTTTTTTTTACTAAATGGTGTTGAGCCTATAATTTGGTTTTCCTACTTTATTTTGTCAGTGTGGCGAATAGCATTTGTTTTTTGAGCTTGAAACCCACACTAGCTCCCGGAGTAGGTCCGGCCTGGTGCAGGGCAGCTGGTGCGTGGGTCTGGGTGAGCTGTGTCCACGTGGGCTGCGTGTGGCCCTCTCTCCCAGGCCCTCTCCAGGCTTCGGGCCGGCGAGCCTCGTGGAAGCAGCTGGGCCTCGCCTGCTCCTCTCGGCGATGGGCTTTATTCGTAAAATGTGGTGGCATTCTGGGTGAAACCGTCTGCACCGGGGAGGGGTGTGGGGAAGGTTCTCACAGGGACTGCACTTGAGTGCAGACATGTGACTGCTCTGCATGCCTCCCGCTCCTCAGGCGACCCAAGCGAGCTTTCACCAGGAGCGCGGCCCTTCATCAGTGTCTGAACGTCCTGCCCCACCCGGGTTCAGGCCTCGGGGTCTTAGTGTCGGAAGGTCTGCAGTGAAACGTGTTTTTTCATTTTAATGGTGGTTATTGTGCCTTCTCTCCTTTTCTTGAAGTCTTGTCCAGTGCTTGTTGACCTTTATTCGTATTTTCAAAGAACTAGCACTTGGTTCTGTGTATCTTTATTGTACACCTGTTGTTTGCCCTTTTGTGTTCTCTCTTCTCATTGCTTCTGTTCGCTCTGTAAGATGGTGCTCACATCACTCCACACCTGTCTTCCTCCTGTTGCCACCCCAGGCTGGCCCTCCGTCTGTGCTCATCCTTGCCTGAACAAGACAATTCACATTTCTCCTCAATTATTCCTGTGACCATGGGTATGTTGGTTAATTTAGAAATATTGGGGGTTGTAGTTACCATTTCTACTAGCCTTCACTGATGCAGGAAGTACACACCATAAAAGGGCACAGCTCAGCGAATTCTGCACAATCTGAGCAACTCGCCCGGATCCGGGACACCTGAGCACACACACAGCTGCCTTTAAAGTCGGACAGGCTTCCACCCTCCTGTCCTCCGGGAGGGCCTGGACGCTCTGACTCCACTTCCTCCTTCCCACAGTTCCTAGTGCTGCCCGAGCACCTTTTTCTCTACCAGAGATGTACAGCCCACAGACATCGCTGCCCAGATCGCCACCGAAGCCCAGGTTCCCACGCCCCGCTTCCTCCGGCTCCCCTGCTGCCAGTCTCCCTGACGCCCCTGAGGGTCACTTTCTGCCCTGGGGAATTCCTTTTGTCCGTCCTTCATTGAGGCCATTGGTGACGGCTCTCCCGAGGGCCCCTGGTTGCCTGCATTGTGATGCATATTGCACTGGTTAGCCTGCTTTCCTGGGCATGAATGCTTCCTGTGTCTGGATGACAAGCTCCATTTGCTGTGGCTTTTCAGGGGTTGGCTGTCCTGTGGTATCCTGCTGAGCTTCAGGGAGACCTCAAAACCTGTGCAGGGGCTGTTATCAGAGTGGAGGTGCTCAGCCTCTGCTCCCTACACTCAGTCCCACTCAGGGTCCCTGTCCACGTAGAGTGAAGCCCCACCTGCCCGTCCACATGGGATCCTGTCCACGTGTGATAGGTGTCTTCACTGTGTGATAATCTGCGTGTAACTTCTCTCTATTCCTGAGCACAGGCCGCCACGCTCTGTGGGCGCTCCCCATTTCCTGTGGCCTGGCCCCCAGGTCCTCAGAAGGCATGCTCTCCCCGTGTCCGGAACCAGGCTCTGAGGTGTGGGGCGAGGCCAGGGTGGCAGGCTGAGTTGGTGCAGAGCAGGGCTCACGGGCACCTGGAGCCCCTGCCCCGCCTGAGGTCCACCTGCGTGGGACTTGCAAGGGTCGGTCCAGGGGCCCAGCTGTCCAGACACCCTGTGTGGCCCCTCCCTCCAAGATCTGGCGGCGGTTCAGGGCCAGGCACGGCTTCCAGGACATTTTCTAGCTTCAAGTCCATCAGGTGTCCTCCCTGCACTTAGCTTCACTTGGTTTTGGTGGGACCTGGGCGCACCGGGCGCTGAAGAGGACGTGCTCACGCTCCGATCTGGGCCCGGCCACGATGCTGGTGCCGGTACTGGGGCCGGGCCGGGCCGGGCCAGGCTGCGAGGGGACGGCTCCGGCATCTGCTGGGTCTGCTGTCCTCATCCGGGGCTGTTTGTCCCCGCCTGTCCCTGTCCCTCTCAGGGTGCCTGCCACGCCTCTGCCCCCGATGGTTGTCACTGTGGGTGCTGGGGGGCGAGGGGGGGTGGGGGGGATTCCTCTGGAGTGGGCAGCACCGCTTCTGAACCCGCTTTCCTCCCAGTCATGTTGCTTCTTGAAGGACTGACTGCTGGAGGCTCCTCAGCACTCCCTCCCCGACGCAGAGTTTCCTCTGTGCTTGGCTTCCCCTCGCCCTGAGCCCGCCCCAGAGGCCTGGGCTCCTTCTGACAGGGAGGGGCCTGTGGCCCAGAGGGCTCCACTGCTGCCCTCGCCCTCAGCCCTCGGTGCCCCGTGCCTGCTGGCGACAGCGAGGGAAGCGCTGGTCCCGAGGCTCACTCTAGGCCTCGATTTGCCTCTGCATCACGCCCTGAGCGTGTGCCAGGGCAGCGAGCAGCTGGAGTCTTTCTCTTCCAGACGGACCCAGGGATCCAGGCACTGTTCGTGGGCATAGACGGCCTGTGCAAGAAGTACTCCAAGGAGACCTCCCAGGTGCGTGGGCGCCTTCTCCTCGGGCACATGTGCCCGTCACCATGGGAACCCGTTTCCCGAGACCCAAGGCCAGTGATCTCGCTGGGATCCTTTTGATTTTTGTCCAAACAATTTTGGACCCGGGTGACAGGTCCTTTGGTCGGGGCGCCCGGCTGATGGCAGGCGTCTGCGTCATGGAGCTGTGGCTGCAGTATCTGACCCTGAGCCTCTTGGCTGCAGGCGTGCTCCCCAGCCCCAGCCTCTGAGGTTGAGTCAGTCCCCAACCTGGTTCCGATGCCAGTCTGACCTCCTGGTCCATCAGGCTGTCTAAGGAGCTGTCCGGAGAGCAGCCCTCTCCGCCCGCCCATCCTGCCTCCCCTCTGATAGCTGCCCTCCCTGAAGAGGCCGAGCAGCAGGCTGAGCGACCACACTCAGGCCTGGCCATTCTCAGACGCTGGCTTGTGCCCTTGGAGACAGACATGTCAGCCCCAGGAGTACCCTGCCCTGGGGGCTGCTCTTGGACACAGTGCCCACAGGGTCAGGGCTGTGCCCCTCCACCCTGCAGACTCCCGGGGGCCTGGATGCCCCAGCACACGGCCTGGGCACAAGGCAACAGCCAAGCAGGGACATGGACCGACTTCGTTGCACATCCCCAGGGGCCTCTCGGGCCAGGTCCCCGGGACCCAGAAGCTACGGTGATGGTGAGCTGGGACACCCTCCCCATAGCACTCAGACCTGCAGGCAGAGCCTCAGGGTGCCTCCATTTGGGGGATGGGGGTGGGGCCCACACCCCGCCCAGGTGGAGAGAGGCCATGGAAGCAGCCAGGCCTCTGGGCGTCATGTCTGTCCCAGTGCCACCTGGGATTCCAGAGTCTAGACACCAGGGATGGCAGCTCTCTTGCTGTTACTTTACATTCGTCTCAGTATTAACTTCTAGTGGGGGAACATCGACAGGTAAAACCCACCTAAGCAGAGCTCTCAGGGGTCCTCAGTAACTTGAAGGTGAGCCTGGGCCACCACCTCCCCACCCCGCCCGCCCCCCGCCCCGTGTGCATCAACCTGCTCCACCTCCGAGGTGCAGGAGCCGGAGGGGCTTTCCCGCTGGGTGTCTGATACTGTCACTGATGGGACAGTGCTTCCTCCCCGGTCAACGGCTGGCAGCGCTGGGACCGCCTCCAGACCGCGTGCACTCCCCGTACAAGGGAGCTCCCAGCCCCGGCACAGCTCCCGCCCTCCCGGCCCTCTCCACGTGCTGGGGGGGGATAGAGAGAGAGAGTGCCCGGTGTGAGCGTGCCCGCTGCACTCTGCGTGTGGCGGGGTGACGGGGTCGTGAAGACACAGGCGGCCAGGCCAGCAGGCAGCAGGGGTGTGGAATGCACGGCGTGGCTGTCACTGCAGCAGCCGACCTGTGTCATCTTCCCAGATTTCAGAATTTCAAGAGAAACACAGAAAGAGGCTGTTGGCCTTCTACAGAGAAAAGGTAAACCCCATCTCCACCTCATGTGACCCTGTGACCAACCCTACGTCTCAGCGGGGCGCGCTGGGGGTGGGCATCTGTCCCGTGGGCCCTCAGCCCCTCGCACGGTTCCTGTCTGCCCAGCGATGCTCAGGGCCAGTAGTCACCATGGTTCACTTCTGACGATGGTGCCCCCCCACCTCACCTCGCACTTTTCCATGAAGCGACTCTGATGAGCGCTTACTTGGGAGGCTCGAAACGCCTGCTCATTTTCCCGACACACACCCTCCTTCCCTGATGTGAGCTACGTGAAGGCAGGGACGCTCCGAAAGGAAACTTCATTCAAGGCAGCGGTTAGCTGGTTGGGACAGGGACCAGCAGAGGGCAAAGGGGCAAGGTCAGCTTCCTGTGCTGAGGCCACGCCCACAGGACACACCCCAGGGCCACTGCCTCACCCGACTGCTGCCTCACCTGGCCGGGAGTGATGTCTGGGCCTCAGAGCAGCTTAGACAATTCTCTATTGGTCTTTTTTTTTTTTAAATTGAAGGTTATGGAATGAGTAGGGCCTGGCTTTGAAGCCACAGGTCCTACAGCCACACCCTCGAGTGTGGAAGCTAGCTGGTGTCCATCCCATGGCCGTGACCTCTCTGTGTGCCTTGGTGGGTCTGCCCAGAGGGAACGTGTCACTGCCCAGCCCCGGTGCCTGTGGGTAGAATCCACGCCTGGCCACCACCCATCTGCCCCTGCAGCTCCTCCCAACTCAGGTGTAAGAACTGAGGGCCGGTTCTTTGCACTGTCACTTGTAACCGAGTCCCTGCATGTGTCAGATCAACAGGCTGGAGGAGTCCCTCAGGAAGGCCATGCTGCGGGTGGAGCAGCTACAAAGGTAGGTCTCCACCCACACCCACACCCACACCCTCCCCCACGCCCCAGAGCCCAGCCAGGCGTCTGCGTGCCGCCTCCCAGGCCACCGCCCTCACCAGGGCCCTGCTCCCCAGAAACTGTCGGGCAGAGGGGCAGTGGGCCGTCTGGGGACAGGGGAGAGGAGAGCACACGGCAGAGAGGAGTGGCTTCCCAGGGACATCCTGTCCTCTGGCTCATGGAGGGGGAGCTCAGGCTGCCGTCTGTGCCTGGTGCAGGGGGTCGGGGAGGGCCGTGCTGTGGGACGGCTGAACTCAAGCCCCGTGTGCGACACGTTCCCGTGAAGGCAAGGGCGGGGGCTGCTGCCGGCCGGCTGTGTGTGCAGGTGCCCGCCCGGTTCCCCGGGCTGCCGCGGAGCTGGGCACGCTGTCCCACGCGGCCTCTGCCCACATGCCACTCTCGCGGGCTGCTTTCCGAGGGTGAACCCAGCCCTCACTGGGACAGGCCCCGGGTGCTGCTTGGAGCAAGACTGGGTGCAGGGGCGCACAGGGCCCTCGTATTTGTCCCCCTTTGTACAACCTGCCTTCCCTCTGGTAACCATCTCATCATTCTGCAGCGTCCCAGTCATTCCTTCCTGGCTGTGGCCCTTTGAGTCCCAGCAGTGTTGTCTGTGCCTCCTGCCCGCAGGCTGGCCCTCCCCGAAAGGCCCCTGACGCCTGCGGGCGTCCTTCAGGCCCCAGCCCTTCTGCTCTCGCCTCTCCCTCGAGCTCATGTCCCTGCTCTGCTCAGCCGTCGGGCCATCTGGTCACTGTGTCTGCCGGCCGCCTGTGTCCGCCCCCGAACCCTCGCGAGGCCTGGCCTGCCTCCCCGGCTGGCGCTCGCGGGGGAGCGTTCCGGCCTGGCGGTCCCTGCAGCGTCCTCTGGGCCTGGGGTCGGTGAGGGACTGGGGGGGAACAGCTCTTAGGTTTACCAACTCCTTCCCCATCTGTTCAGCATGAGGCCGTCCCAGCGCACAGCCTTCAGCGCGATGCGGAGTCCGGTTTCTAGTAAGTGGCGGCCCACTGCGTGGCGAGCCGAGGACATGGCAGGGCAGAGCCAGGGCAGGCGCGCCCTCACCCTGCGGTGTTTTGTCACAGCTTCCTCAGCAGAGCCCCGTGGACAACTCCCCAGGCCACCCGGCTCCTCCGCCTCCTCCGAGAGGTGTGTGCGCAGGGCTGGGAGCTGGGGGGACGGGGGACTGGGGCCTGGGTCAGCGGCCACACACAGGAGCTGCAGGTCCTTTGCCTTCCCACGCTCCTCCTGCCGCCCCCACCCTCCAGGTCCCCAAGTTCTGACGCTCAGCACAGGCCCCAGGAGCTCGCCCGCAGCGGCTCTTACTCACCGCCAAGGCCTGGGGGCTGGCCCAGCCCTGTCCCTGTGGCCTAGCAGCAGGTGGAGGAGTGGTCCCGTGACTTGGGAGGGCCTCTCCTTTCCACTGGGGTCAGGATGCCCAGGGCGGCTCAGAAACAAATCTGCCACGGGACACCCCTGGCGGCCGGTCCCTGAGAGCATCCCTCCTCCACCTGCTTTTCCTTGAAATGCAGGGAGCTGGGTCCACACGCAGCACAGGAGGCCCTGGTGGCATCTCCGAGCTGCCCGTGCCTGTGTCCCCCAGGCAGCCGGGCTCTGGCGCTGAGCACTCAGCCAGAAAGTGACTCAGCGATCAATTCCCTCCTCCTATCCCTCTCCCTCCCTCCCTCCCTGCCCTTTTCCTATGGGGAAGCCAGGGCATGCTTCTCTGTCAGTCTTGAGCAGTAAGCAAAGGAGCTGGCCCTGCGAGCGCTGATTGAGTGCAGTGGGCCCAGCAGGAGTGGACCGGAGGCAGACGAGATGCCGCACCTCCAGGGTGCCTGAAGGACCGGGAGGAGCAGACCTGGCAGAGGAGGCCGTCAGGCGGGGCCTCCCCAGAGCTCAGAGCCCGCCCTCCCCGTGGGCTGGGTTGGTCTGACAGAAGCTGAGAGGGAGGTGACTGAGGGCCAGCGTGAGGAGGAGCATGGAGACGGCGTCCTGGGCATCGTCCGGGCTCAGGCAGTAACTGTCCGCTGTCGTTCACAGAGCAGAGCCCATGGAGGTAGACCTCACGCCCTCCCCGCTGAGAAGGGTGAGTCGTCTGGTCCCGTGTGTCATGTTGCCTGCACCTTCAGTGCCTCCTGCTTCTCAACGCTAACAACCGTAGCCGCCCCGTCCTTCCCGACCATGGCCATTTCTTCCCAACCGTGGCCGCTCCTTCCCGACGATGGCCACTCCTTCCCGACGATGGCCGCTTCTTCCCAGCGATGGCCACTCCTTCCCGGCCGTGGCCGCTCCTTCCCGACGATGGCCACTCCTTCCCTACCATGGCCGCTTCTTCCCGGCCGTGGCCGCTCCTTCCCAACCGTGGCCGCTCCTTCCCAGCGATGGCCACTCCTTCCCGACCGTGGCCGCTCCTTCCTGACGATGGCCACTCCTTCCCTACCATGGCCGCTTCTTCCCAGCGATGGCCACTCCTTCCCTACCATGGCCGCTTCTTCCCAGCGATGGCCACTCCTTCCCTACCATGGCCGCTTCTTCCCAGCGATGGCCACTCCTTCCCAACCGTGGCCGCTCAGACCCAACCGTGGCCACTCCTTCCAGACTGTGGCTGCTCCTTCTGACCGTGGCTGCTCCTTCCCAACCATGCTGCCACAGGAGGCAGGGCCACACTGGCATGGGACACATGGTGGGCTGCCTCCATCTGGGCAAGTGGTGGGAGGCGGCTGAGTGAATCCAGGACCCCTGACAACCTGTCGGTGAGGAGGTGGTCAGCTTCACCGAAAGAGAAACATGGGTGGTGCTGGCGTGTGCCTGGCTTGGAGCAAGCCTGGCACGCGGGCCCTGCCCGGGTAGTACCAGGCCCCGTCACCAACACCTGGGTTTCCAGGTGACAGTTTTGCACCAAAAATGAGGATTTACTCGGGATTTTAAAATGTCTAACTTTTTTTCTGTTCTAAAATTATTAGAAGCACCTAGCAAGCCCCTTGTCCCCTCACTGCTGTAGTGCCGGGGGCACTGGGGGGCCAGTGGGACACCCTGTCTCACGGGCTCCGTCCCAGCAGCCCCAGCCAGGCGGGACGCAGGCTGGTGAGGGGCTCTCGTGACCCACTGTCCTCTTCCCGTCCTTAGCCCGAGCCAGCCGGCCCCACCAGAGTGTCCCTGATCAGTCCTCCCCAGGACGGACGCATGGGTGAGTCCCTCCCTCACCCAGACTGAGGTTGTGTGATCGCACCCTCCAGGCTATGGCCGTCCATCCTCCTCCCCCCACCCCCCGCGCCCCTGCGCTTCACAGCGTCCGGGGGGGCTCGGCCTCGCCTGGTGGCGCAGGGAGACGAGGCTCCCACGCCCGGGCTGACCCCCTCCTCGGTGCCAGGTGTTCGGAGGCAGGTCTGTCCGGCCGCATCCAATAGCCTTGCTTCCTGCACAAAAGCCTCAGGCCATGGCTCGGGCCCTGGGTCAGCGGCGCTCTGGCTGTCTCTGCTGGGCTGAGGCCCCGAGGGCGCCCTCCGTCTGCCCTGAGCGCCACTTGAGGGGTTCCGCCTCCATGCCATGCGCCTTAGCAGACCCTGCGCCCACGGCTGGCTCAGCCCGAGCCCCCAGAGCCCGAGGAGAGCCGGCACCGGGCCACCAGAGGGCGGGCCCCCCGCCTGGGGCACTGCGCTCGGACACACAGTGGTGACCTGCCGGGGCCTCGAGTCCCTCGGCACTGTTGACCACAGTTACCCACAAGCCCCCACATGCCCACAGGCAGCATCTCCCACCTCGGCCCTCAGCAGCTCAGCCTGACGCCAGGTCGCACCAGCGGGTCCCAGGCGCTCAGGTAGGTCCCGGAAGCTCCCGAAGGACGTTCTGCGGGGGGGTGAGGGGTGAGAAAGGAGGTCTCGGTGCGGCCTTCCAGCCCGCTGTGCGCTGGGGCCGTGCTGTGCGGAACACGTATGGTTCGCTTTTCTGAAGTTAAAATGAGCTCAGCTGTTCCTGTTGTAGCAGCTCCCAGGCGCCCTGTGTGGCTGCAGCGTCTCCTCTCGGGGTTCGCTGGCGGGCGGGGAGCCAATGGCACATCTGTGTCCCGACAGCAGCTGACAGAGGCAGGAGCCGGTTGGGCCTGTGTGCTGCTGTTTGCCACCCCCTGAACAGAGCATAACCCACGACCCAGCCCATTGCCTGAGACATGGGCTGCATCTGCGCAGGGCTCTGCCCCTCACCCCGCCCAGAGCTCCTTGTTGGCTCCCCATGCCAAAGGCCACGTCCATACCTGACCGCCTGCCACCGCCCAGCCGTGGCCTTCCCATCCTCCCCAGCCCAGAGCCACCCTTGTGCCCACGGCCCCCATGCATGAGGCGACCCACCCGCTGCCTGAGAACAGCCCCCAGGCAGGCTTGGGCCAGCCCCTAACCCGCCCACTGCCTGGGACCCATCCCCCCTCACCCCACCACTGCCTGGGACCCATCCCCCTCACCCCACCACTGCCTAGGACCCATCCCCCCTCACCCACCCACTGCCTGGGATCCATTCCTCCTCCCTCACCCCGCCCACTGCCTGGGACCCATCCCTCCTCACCCGCCCACTGCCTGGGACCCCCCCCCTCACCCGCCCACTGCCTGGGACCACCCCCTCACCCCACCACTGCCAGGGACCCAACCCCCTCACCCTCCCACTGCCTGGGACCCATCTCCCCTCACCCCACCACTGCCTGGGACCCATCCTCCCCCCTCACCCCGCCCACTGCCTTGGGACTGGCCCCCCTCACCCGCCCTCTGCCTGGGACCCCCCCTCCCCCCTTCCCCCCACCACTGCCTGGGACCCATCCCCCCTCACCCGCCCTCTGCCTGGGACCCCCACCCCCCCACCCCATCTACTGCCTGGGGACTGGCCCTCCCACAGGGATTGTGACTCCTGATTTGGGGCACCAGCACAGACGATGGCAGTGGAGGGCCCGCTGAGAGCAGGCGGGCCCTGGTGAGGGGCAGCCACAGGCATCAGAGCCTGTTCCACTGTCCTGGTGCCACCGCCCAAGCCCAGGGCGTGGCCTCCTGGCGCCGGGAACGTGTGTGTTAATCCACACGTGGCCTTTAAAAGTGAAAAGATCATGTTGCCAAGGTCCTTTGAAGCACCGGTGACTTTGTGACCTTGCTCCTAGGATCCCACCCGTGCTGATGACCGGCTGGGGGTCGTCCCAAAGCCTCGGCCTCCAGGCGGCCGGCAGAGCGGGAGGAGGGGGCTCGGCCCCGGCACCCAGGCCGCCCATCAGCATCTCGGGGCTCCTGCAGAGGCAGCAGTCAGGCAAGGACCCCAGCCGTCCCTGGAGCGCGCGTGACCACGGGGCTGTGGCAGCACGTGGTCCTGTCTGAGCTCCCCTGGTGCCTCGGAGCTGGCGGTGCTCACGGCGGCTCTGTCTGCTCCGCAGGGTCTGCCAGCCTCGGGGGCTTCCCACCAGGGAGGTGACGTCCTCCGCGCCCGCCACGCGCCCCCCACAGCTCGAGAGGCAGCGGGCGGGCGGTCCGTTCCTCAAGGCAGCGCCCCAGCAGTGCCACCAAATAAAGCGTTGCCTCGTTTCCTGGACCTGAAACTACCTTCCTGGCCCCTGCCCCCTGGGCCTTTCCGGGCAGGCAGTGCACAGCGGGAGGTGGGGCCTCAGCCTGAGGAGCCCCGGCAGAGCCGTGCCCTGATCCCCTACCCCCCCACCGCAGGCTGGCCAGCAAATCGGGCCTGGTGACTGTCGTCTGTGACTTCTGTCACGTGTGCCTGTGACTAACGTGACGCTGTGCCCATGGCTGACTCTCCATCGCTCAGTGTGACCCTGTTCCGTGGGAGACAGCGCTCCCCGTCCTGTCTTTGTGGTTCCTCATCCTGTTTTACTCACAAGCCCAAGACCGAGCCCGTGGGGGACAGTCGGCTCAGAATGGCGCCTCAGGCCCCAGAGACAGTCCGGCCAGGGCCAGGGACCACTCAGGACCCAGGTCCCCTCTCCCCAAGCCCCTCTCCCCTGAGACTCCTCTTCTGCTGCCTTCCCACCAGCCACCCCACTCAGGACCCCCTCCCAGGGCCCTGCCTGGCCACACCATCTTCCTGAGCTGCTCAGCGCCTTCCGGGCCAGGCCTCACCTTTCAGGCCCTGCTGTGGGCGGCCACTGGGTTTAATGAGCCGTGACCACGTGGGGGTCGTGGTCTGCCAGCGTGGTTGAGAGCTTCTCTGCAGCTCCGTGGCCCAAGCGGGGGAATGAGCACTTCCTGCTTGGTACCCTCAGTGAGCACGTGGTTGCACCCCCACACACACCTACAATGACAGGCCTCAGGGCCCAGGGGCCAAAAGCGCCCGAAAGCCTCCGTGAGCCTGGAAGACGGGAGGGCGGAGGGGGGCCAGTGAGGGCACAGGGCTGGGAATGGGACTCGGCCTGGAGCTGAGTGGATATGGGGGCTCTGCAGCAGGTAGGAGTCCGGGGTCCCAGGATGATGGGGCTCCAGGCTGGTGCAGGTGGGGCTGGGGTCTGCCCGAGGACGGTCCACTCCGAGACACTCAGCAGGCAGGGCTGGGTCCTGCAGCCGCCACAGAGCACCCAGGAGCACCTGGGCCACAGCCCCCGCCCTCACAGAGGCCCTTCCGCCCGCCGTGCCTGGAGGCTGTGAGCGAGCCTTTCAGCCGGAGGAGAGGCCTGGAGTCCCTCCGTCGCTCTGGGGGCCGCACCGCCACACTCGGACCCGTCTCCTGAGGGAGCCTGGATGCCAGCAGCCTGTGCCCCACAGGACCCACCGGCCCTGCCCCTGAGGCCCCTGCCACACCCTGCAAGTCAGGAGAGGCCACCTCAGCAGACGCCCCGTGCCCGGGACCACACACCACGAGGGCCCGTGACCTGTGTGATCTGCAGGCAGGAGCGCCCGCTGCCCGAGCCCGGCCCCAGGTCCACCTGTCACCTCGTCCCCCCGTCCCGCGGAAGGGCCCTCCCAGAAATGCCAAGGCTGCGGAGGCTGAGCTCTGCGTCCCGGCGGACAGCCGCTGCACGTGCACGCACACGCTCCCACACGCGCACATGCAAACGCACATGTGCACACATGCTTGCCCACATTTTTTTCTGAGCCTTCCCCACAGACACCAGCCTGTGTCAGGGCAGGGCCTCTGGTGGTTGCCTGGCGTCCTCTGGCGTTTCCGGGTGGCCAGTCGCCTGTCACGAGCTGTGGGGCGTGGCTGCGTCCTCAGGGCAGGCGAGTGGCGGGTGGGGAGCCCAGGCTCTTTGAGGGGGGCTTCCCTGTGGGAGAGACAGGCAGCCGGGTGGTGGGGGCGGAGCTCCTGGCTGGGGCGGGACCTCCGGAGGCCCCTAAACCCACCTCGGAAAACCTGCTTCCTCCCACGCAGAGGCCTCAGCACCCACTTCCCAGTTGCCCATCGAGCCCCTGCAGGGCAGGCGCCTCAGGAGGGCGACGTGCGTGGCCGCGGCACCAGCATCCAGAGTCCACCCCACGGGGTGGCAAATGCGGCCTCGTGGCTGCCTCAGGGAAGCCGAGGCCCCCAAGCCATGCCCTGCCCCTGCTCCTCGTTGCCCTCAGGGTCCAGACGTGGCCCAGGCCATGGCTGCCTCTCAGCTCCTCGGACACACCCCTGCCACGTGCACCACGTGTGATCGGGCGCGTAAGAGCTCATCGGCCTCCTGCAGGGTGGGCGTGAGCAGGCCCCGGGCGAGGCCCCCGCCCGCCCGCCCGCCCACGTCCACGGAGCCGGGGGACCCCAGCGGAGGAGCCACGGCCGTGCAGACCTCAGAGCTCAGCGGCTTCGCTCCAGCCACTGAAGTCCGGGCCTGAACGCGGTGGGAGAACCCTCTGCCTCAGGACGTTCCTGAGCCAAGACCCCGGCCGGGAATTGGGAGCCGGGGAGCGCGGGCGGCAGCCTGGGCTGGGGTTTGCTTTTCCGCGGGGCCCGGGCTGGCGGGCAGCTCGGACCCGGCCGTCTCCCTGGCGCCCGAGGCACACGGAGTGCTCTCCTGGCACACGCCGCGGGCTGGGGTCCCCACCTCAGGAGAGAGGAGAGCCGGGCCAGCGCGGCTCCTAGAATTCTCCACAGGTCACCCTTCGCGGGGACACTGGACCAGGCCCTCAGAGGAGGTGTCAGCGGAGGCCCCGGTCGGCTCGGACCCGGCCAGCACTCAGCCCGGGACCCTCTCCAGCTCGAGTCCCCGGGCTGGGCACCCCGGGTGGGCGGGGTGGGGGCCAAGGCGCGGGCTGCAGCGGCCGCCTTCCAAGCGCGAAGAGCTCGGATCCGGTCCTTGGAAGCGTTTCCAGATGTTCTTGGCATCGGAGGGAGCCTTCCGTGGACCTGGGAGTGCGGCCGGCGGCCGGCAGGAGGGGTCCCTCCCACCCCATGGGCACCTCTGTCATCTGCATGTCAGCGCGCGGCACCAGGAATGTTTGCTGTTTCCAAAGAAAACAGGCCGGCAGGCGCCTGGCGAGGGGGACCCGGGGGTCAGGGCCTCGCCGAGGACGCCTGCCTGGCCCAGCACGCGTCCCCCTCCCCCCCAACCGGCCGACCGGACCTCACCCCTCCCAGAGCCCTGGCCTGCGTGTGCGCAGATGAGCATGCCGAGTCCCGCTGTGTACACGCGTGCTCGAACACACGTGTGCACCCAGGTGCGTGCACACCACACACGCCCGCAGCAGCTCCAGATGACCGCCTCCCAAGCCCTGGCCGCCCTGAGACCGCCCAGCGGGGCGTGCAGCCTGCTGTCCCTGACCCTCCCGGGAGTCTGTCCCCCGCGGGGGTGCCCACGGGACCCAGAGCAGCAGCTGGAGGCAGGGCGGCAGCCTTGGGTGGGGGCAGCCGCCGTGGCCTGTGGGAGTGGAGGGAGCTGGGGAGCCGGCCACCACGGTCGGTGATGGCCACGGGGAGTGAGGACCCTCCGAACGGCCGCCGCGGCCACGCAGCCTGGTCCGGCCCCCGGCCCCCGGCCCCCGGCCCCCGGCCCCCGGCCCCCGGCCGCTCCAGCTGGCGGGCGCCGAGCGGCGGCCGCGGACTGCGCTCCATGAGCTGCTCAGGAAGCTGGTGTGTTTGCGATGTGAAAAGCTCAGCCAACTTTCAAAACGGGGCTGTTTTTCCAGTGGAAAGTGTAACGTGAGCCCAGAAGCGTTCTCACTCACTCGCCGCGCAGACACCCCGACGCCCCCTCGGCCGTGAGGCCGGCGCCGGCTCGGTGGCCACGCCGGGCCAGCTCCCGCCTTGCCAGCTCGGTCCCGACCACGGTGCCGGCCCAGCCCCCCTGCTCGGGCCTGGAAACCCACCCGCCCCCAACACACCGGGCCGGGCGGGAGCAGGGCCGTGCAGACCCCGTGCAGGATGGCGAGGCCACGTGCTGTCTGGGCCCAGAGGGGGCGCCCACGGGCAAACCCCCCGTGGCGCCTGGACCCAGCCCGCAGCCAGGCCGAGCCGTCACTCAAGGCCCCCCTGCCGGCCAGCTGGGGGCACCCAAGGCCTGCCCAGAGGCACCCTGGTTGCAGCCGACCGGGCCCCTCAGGGAGCCGGGGCCTGGCAGATATCTGCCTTGTGCTCCAAGGGTGCCCTCAAAGCCATGACCTCTGACCCCAGGCACCCAACATCTGAGCCGACAGCCAGCATGGTTGTGGTGGACTTCCAGGGCCCCCAGGCCTGACCGGTCCTCCCACCAGGGGGTGGGGGACACCCCAGCTGCGCACTGGGCTCGCCGGCCACTGCCGGGCCCCGGGAAGGGCCGTGTCTCCAGCCGCTTCCGCTTAAGCAGCAGAACATGAGATGACGCTTCTGGACTTTGCAGCCCAGAACCCCCAAGATGGCCCCGTGCTTTTGCAGGGCTTTGGGGGTGAACAGACGCACAGTGGTCCCTGAAGACCTCACCGCTGCACGGGGCACAGCAGAGGTTCCTGGGACCCCCCGGGGGCTCAGCTGCTGTCCCTGACCTCCCGGGAGCCTGTCCTCGCTGCCCATGCTGAGCCCGGCCCCAGGAGGACAGACCCGGGGCCCGCACACCCAGCACCTCGCGCTGTTCCCTGGTTGAGGGTGCTGAGGCCACGGGAAGTCAGCCCTGCCTGGGCCCGGCGGCTGTGGCCCCGGTGCTCTCTGCAGAGCCACCGCCGGCCTCCCCCAGCCTCCTGGAGGCCGGAGGCAGGGCCCAGCCTGTGCTGGGCTCGGCTGAGAAACCGCCAGGGTTTGCTGGTCTGAGGCCTGCGCTGGGGGCAGGGACGGGCCGGAAGGCTGGTGGAGTCCAGCAGACCCAGCAGCTGGGGGAGTCAGGGAGAGGCTGGTGGGCCAGGGGCACCCCAAACCCAGAGGTGGGCCCCCTCTCGGGCGTGGGGCCATGTTGCCCAAGCCTGGTCTTCCCCTGCAGCCCCTGTGGTGGCTGGCACAGCGGTTACCCCCCACCCGCCTGGCCACGCAGCACCCGCCCACCCGCCCAGCCGTCCCAGACAGGCCTCTGCCCCGGGCTCTCCCACTCCCAGGCGGGCTCGGGCAAGGCCAGCCCAGAGTCCAGTTCACGGACCTGAGTGAGGGTGGCCTGCCCGCTGCTCCTGACTGGCACCGAGAACTGCTGTGTCCCC